GGGGGGGGGGGGGGGGTGGCGGGGCCCTTGGCCATCTTAGCTGTGAGCTTGGCCAAACACACACAGGCATGGTCCACCCAGCCTCTGCGTCAACTGTGAAATCCGGAGCTGGCTCTGGCACCCTCCCAGGGCTCTTCAGGTCTGAATTCAGTACTCATCTGTAGACCACCTGGGGGGGCTCTGGGAGGGAAGGAGTGTCTAGCAGCACATATCTGGGACAGAATCCAGGAGAGCAAGCCTTTGGCACCTGTGGTTGCAACAAGTCTGGCGAGTATTCCCAGGCAAGCAGTTGCTGAGCTGGGTTTTGAGGAATGAATAGGAGTTTGCCTGGGGCTTGGAAGCTAATAGTCTTCCTCTCTCTGCCTTTGAGGCTTCTGCCGCCTGGGCAGCTTCCTGTCGAAGGAGTGGGCCTCGGTGCTCTCCTTTGACTGGTTCTTTTGTCCTACTCATCTCTCATGTGGCAGGGATGGTGCCTGTCCCTTCCTGGCCCCCTGACCTGCCCCCTTGGGTTGTGACCATCCCCCTGGGGTGAAGGAGTCCCCACTGTTGTCTAACCAGGGCACAAAGTAGGGAGTGGCACTGCCACATGCATATCGTCTGTTGATGGGGGCAGAGGAATAAAGGGAAGGTAGGGTGGTGGAGAGTCCTTCGGACCGTAGAGGATCAGGCGGCACTAGGTCTTATTGTCTGGGGAGGGGAGCCAGGGTTTTGGGGTATGGCCCTGCCCCAGTCCCAGCCTCTTCTGTGAGGGGGTCACAGCAGGCAGGATGGGCGTGAGGATTAAAGAGTAAGGCCTCAGAGTTAGAGTTGATTGTGTTGAAGCCCGTGCCTCACAGTGGGGGCTTCCTGCCCACTTGTCTACTCATTAACTGCACTTGCAGCTGGAGCTTGCGGGCCGGGTGTCTGCGGAGTGTTTCCTCAACTGAGGGTGGTAGGGGGAGCAGAGGGCAGGGCTCAGAGGGATTGGGGCAGCTGCCGCCCCACACTGTCCTTCCACCCGAAGTGGGCTCTGGGCGATCTGTTCCCTGAGCACCGTGGCCATGAGTGTCTGCTCCTGGCTGGAGGTGGGACAGCCTGCTTGGGCTCTGCCATGCTGGATGCCTGGTCACCTGGAACTGGTGACCAGGGCGTGTTGGGACCAGGTCACAGGGAGAGCGGCCCCGGGGTGCCAAAACCAGGAGGGGGCTGGCGCACAAAAACCAGGCCCGGGGACAGCCCAGGAGCTTCCCAGGGTGTCTCTTCAGTGATGGCCCCGCTTGGCAGCCCAATTCTTGCCCTGGGTCTGGGGCAGGAACTTCTCCTGAGAGTGTAACCCCAGTAGCCAGGCCTTCCAGGAGCTTTCCCAGTCAGCTTGAGAGTCGACCCCTTGCTGAAAAACAGCCAATTAGTCTTGTTTACCAAAGGCATTCTTCCCTGGTACAAACCCCAAAGGAGCGCCCGTTGGCTTCCAGCCAGATTAATTCCCTAGTAACGGGAAGGTGCTTCTGTGGCGCCACAGCACCTCTCCACCTTTTGAAGGTCACCTGTTGCTTGGCGAAGGTTTTCTTGGGAAGTTTCTCCAGTTCCTCCTGGTCCCCTGAGGGCTGGTACCTTGAGGCAGGGTGGGGTGGGGGCTAGGTAGCATCGCAAATGCCTTCTCCATCTACCTGCCTCCCCCAGAGGCCTCCAGAAGCTTCAGCAGGAGCATGGGGGTCGAACTCTGGGCCCCACACACTCATTTCTGAGCCGCAGGGGCTGTGGCTGAGCCCCGGCAGCTGTGTGCTTAATGTGCCTAGACCTGCAGCCTTGTGTCACCTCAGGGACACTGAGGCTTAGAGGGGAGGGTCTTGACCTAGACCCTCTGCCCCTCTCCTAGAGCTGTTTCTTTTTTTTTTTTTTTTTTTTTTCAATTTAGCCTGTTGGGATGTGGAGAGGGAGCCTCCCTGGTACTGAAACATCCCACCTTGGCAGGGCTCTGGGATGCCCAGATCTTGGGGGCTGGGCCTGGCCAGGGGCTTACTCCCTGGCAGAGTCTGAGTTGGACCCTGGAGGCTGCAGGAAGTGGAGGGGGTACTGCCCTCAAGAAGCCCCCTGACGCTAGTGCAGGCCCTCATCAGAGGGCAGGAGCTCCTCTCCCCATCAGGGCGCCCAGTGGGCCCCCTGGGGCCTTGGCAACCTGCCGCCCTCTTGTGGCCTGGCCCTTTGGGTACCTCCTTCCTCTCCTTGCTTCCCAAGTGCAGGCTTGTTTGTGATGGGATTCCTGTCACTTCATGACATGCAGAGGTCTGAACTCTGGCATGAGAAGGGCATGAGGCACTCTGGTGGGTTTCTGTGTTGCTGGGGTACCTTGCTGCCTGTTCCATTAGAACCTCCATCCATTAGAACCCTACTCCCTCCAGGGGGAGGGACATTTCCCCTAGATGAGCCCTGCTACTGGGAGCCATCTCAGCCTCAGGAAGGGAGGTCAGGGAGTGAGGGGGGTTGGGGCTGGAGGCCCCCGCAAGACTTGCAGGACCCACCCCATCCGTTGCTGGACATTCCCCGTCAGTGCCCCCCAGCTTGTGTTCTAGGCCGTCCACTCTGCTGGGCAGCCAAGACTTCGAGGGGAGGGGAGCGCGCTGGCTTTTCTGTTCACATGGGCCGCAAGTAGCTGGGGTGGGTCTGTGGTAGTGCCTGTGGACCCGCTGTGGGTTAGGGTCAGCTGCAGGGAGGGCCCTGGATCCTGCCCTTGGGGGCTTCTGGACCTCTGGATGGTCCTTTCATCTTGAACCTCTTCTGGGGCAGAGGGGCAAGTGGCTGTGTGTTCTGACCAGTCACCAGCACCCCGTACTGCTGTGGCCTGTGCGACTCGGTTTTACCATTCTGTCTATAATCTGCAGGCTGGGTGTGTCTGTGGTGGTCTGAAGCACAGATACACACGTCCTTTCAAGTGTCACTTGAGAAATAGGTTCCAGGGTAAAAGCCGGACAGTAGGTCTGTGATGGAACCTGCACCCCTGGCCCCCTGGTCCTCCAGCAGCCCAGCTACCCACCCTTGTCCTGCAGTAGCGCCAGTTGTCCTGTGCGTCCTCTCTCAGGGGTATATGCATTTCCTGGGGCTTTTGCAGCAAGAGCCCCCCTCACCAGGTACCTTAGAAGAGCACAGGGTTTCCTCTGGCAGTTCTGGAGGTCAGAGGCCCAGTTTGGGGGCACAGCTGGTTCCATCCCGAGGCTCCTGGAGCATGGCCAAGCACAGGGCATCAAAACAAGTCACTTTTTCTTCAGAGTTTCACAGACTTGTGTCTGGGAGACACTCTAACCAGGAACCATTTTAAATTCCGAAACAGTTGAATCTAGTGTGTTACTCCCTTCTGGGAGCATTAGGCTTTACCTGCTCACATCTTACGGAGAAGCTTTGCACCTTTGTCCATAAGGGAGTCTCCTGTGAGGTCCCTGCCAGCTTGGGTGGTGTTGGGCTGCTCCTGTGTAATGTACCCTGGAGGCAGGTCAGTAACAGCAGCTGCTTGCCCGCCAGCTGCCCCACCACTCCTGATGCAGACATGAGTGTGTCCCATGCCCGCCCTGCCATCCACCCCACTGTGCTTCCCCAGTGTCATGCGTTGTCTGAATATCTTACACTTTGGCATCGTTCGGGGGACAGCGTGCCTCGCTTCCCCTGTGAAGTTTGCCGTGTTGTCCTGCGTACACCCCAGCTGCCACCTCCTCACAGTCGACACTTCAGGACTTTGCATGTTCTCACTGGTATATGCACCACTGGTGGACTTCTCTGTGGGCAAGAAAGCGTGTGGGAGGACAGAGCCTAAAGGCGCAGTCACCAGGCAGGGCTGTGCGTGTCCGCCTGCTGCTCTGGGTGGACTATGTCAGGCCACCTTCTGTTCCCTGCCCCCGAGTCAGACGGCTCTGCGCACTGTGCCTTTGGCCCTGGCTGGCTGGCTGGCGGGCCTTCTGCCAGTGTCCTCCTGCCTCCCTGGCTTCAGGGAGCTGCGTGGTATGGCTTCAGCGTGGGCTGAGCCATGTGGGAAGCCCACCCTTGCCCAGCTCTGCAGACCTCACCATCCATGTTCCAGGTCAGGAAGACCCCAGGCCCTGTACCCCACACCCTACTTGGTGGTAGGACCTGCACGGACCCTCCAGGTTCCTTGACTTGCTGCCAGAGTTTCTGTGCGGCCAGCCATAGGCCTGGCCCTGGCAGATTCTGGAAGGCCGGTCCTCTGCTCTTCCCTGCTGGCCCCAAGGGTCAAGGCCTGGCATTAGGCACTGGCTGGTCACCAGCTCCGGTGGCCACTGCTGCACCAGCCTGCTCATGGCTGTTTCTCCTGTTTGTTTCAGGGCTTGGTTATGACCCGTACAACCCTGAGCTGCCCAAGCCCCCTGCACAGAGGGAGAATGGCGCCCTGTGCAGAGGCATTGATTCCCGCTCAGATATCCTGGAGCTGGAGCTGGTCAACCAGGCCATTGAGGCTGTGCGCTCTGAGGTGGAGCTGGAGCAGAGGCGCTACCAGGAGCTCCTGGAGACGGCCCGGGAGTGTGGTTCGGCCGAGGCCCCTGTCCTGGCACCCCATGGCCCTGCTGCCTGCCCCGCCACCAGCCTGGACGGGGACGCCTTCCCACTATCCTTCGATTACAACCCCAGTAGCCATGGCCTTTTGAGCCCTGATGCCAGCTATCAGCCCACCCCACTAGCTGCCACCGCTGAGCCTGGCTGCAAGTACTCGCTAGCCTCACCAGACCGGGCTCAGGGCCATGGTGGAGGGGGTGGCAGTGCCCTGGAGTATGTCCCCAAGGCCGTGGGCCAGCCCCGGCGGTATGGCCGCCCCATCTCCAGCAGCAAGTACGTGGTGGACAACTCGAAGCCGTCTACAGACCTGGAGTATGACCCCTTGTCCAACTTCTCTGCCCGCCTGCTTAGCAGGGCCAGCACCAAGGACGAGAGGGCCCCCAAGCGGCCCAGGTGCTCCCGTGGCAGCGAGCCCTACACACCTGCACCCAAGAAGCCCTGTGACCCCTTTGGCAGCTGCGACGCCAGGTTTTCGGACTCTGACGATGACGCTGCTGTCGCTCCAGGTGACAAACCCGTCACCACCAGCCCCTCAAGAGCTCAAGGGGGCACTGAGAGCAAGGCCCCAGGGAAGCCAGGCTCCAGGGAGGGCCCCGAGCTGGAGGAGGGTGGCCTTCGGGAGACCAAGGAGATGGCGGTGCAGTGTGACGTGGAGGATCTCGGGCCACCGCCTCGGAGCCCAAGCAGGCCACCCCTGGCTAAGCCTAGCTCACCAGCCAGGGCTGTGCCAGAGCGCAGCAGCCCCAAGGAGGGGAGGCCTAAGAAAAAAAGTGGGGTGCCACCTGCTGCCAACCACAAGGACAGCGTCCGGAAGACAGATAAGGGTAAGGATGGTGCACGAGGGAGGCCAACTGAGAAGCCTGCTGCAGACAGGAGGGGCCCGCAGGCTGGCAGCCCCCGGCACAAGGCAGAGCGGCCCCACGGGACCAAGAAAAAGCCATCTTCAGCCACTCCGGTGGCCAGCTCAGGGAAAGGCCGACCTGAACGGCCAGGACCGCTGCCGAGCCCCGCACTAGGGGCAGCCCGCCAACCACCAGATAGGATGGCTGGGAAGACCCTGTCAGGGAAGCTGGCAGAGAGGAAGGCCCGCTCGCTGGACGAGGGCGCCCCCCGGGACGCCCCCAAGCTGCCCAGGCGGGCCCTGAGCCATGCCGAGCTCTTCGGGGATGAGAGTGAGGATGAGGACCCGCGGCCCGAGGCGCCGGCCACCCGGCCTCCCGCTCCCCCCAGCCTCAGCTCCAGCTCGGACTCGGACTCAGACTCGGACTCCAGCCTGGGCCTGTCAGCTGCGCGGGGGCCGCCCAAGCGCCTCAAGGCCTCCCCGCCTCCCTGCTCCTCGTCGTCTTCCTCAGGGGCGGGCTCTGATGTGGACTACTCGGCCCTGGAGAAGGAGGTTGACTTTGACTCCGACCCCATGGAGGAGTGCCTGCGCATCTTCAACGAGTCAACAACTGTCAAGACTGAGGACAAGGGCCGCCTGGCCCGGCAGGTGAGGGCAGGCCAGCCGGGCACCTCCCCGACTCCCTTGTGACCAGAGGCCCAGCACCCAGTGGAGACGGCTTTCTCAGCGTCAGCCTGTCAGCTCATTCAGAATTCAGACCCCTCGATGGCTACCCCTTCCCCCGCTCCTGATCCTGCTTCTCCCCTGTCTCTCTCACCTCTTCCGGATTCCTTGCAGACCCCTTTCCCCTCTTTTCCCCTCTCCTCCCTCTCAGACCCCCAAACTCAGCCACCTCCACCTTTCTGGTTTCCTGCTGCAGTGTCCCCACCTCACCACCAGAGGGAGCTTTGCTCTGAATGGAGCTGGCACAGCCAGTCCCACAGGCAACGTGCAGCTGCTGGGGGATCCCTAGTGGGACCCTGGCCCCACTCTCTGATCCCCCCTCTTTAGTGCCCCATCCTGTTCCTGGCCCTCTGCTTTCCCCATTTCCTTCCTTCCCACAATTGTGAACCTGCACCAGTCCCTGTGCTGGGTGGGCGGGAGTGTGGGCTGGGTGGTCTGCAGAACTCACCCTTTGGGGGCTCTGAGAGGTGGGCCCAGGTGCCAAGTCTGTCCTCACCTGGAGGCAGGGCCTGTGTGTGTTCGGGGGGGAGGTGAGAACCCTGAAACCCCCTCTACAGCCGGGCAGCCAGTTAGTGTCTTCCCACCTGCTCCTGTCTCAAGCCTGGGGTGTACCCCAGGCCAGGACGAGCGAGAGGAACTGTGGCTGGTGTGGGGTGGGCTCGCTGAGGGACAAATCTGTGTCTCAGCCCCCCAAAGAGGAGAAGACCTCAGACAAGGGGCATTCAGGCCTGACCACACTGTTTCCCGGGCAGAAGAGGAGGATTTCTCACCTCTCCAAGCAAGGCAAGGAGGTAAGTGTCTGCCTCTGGGTCCTGGGGGAATGGTCACCCATCTACAGAGGCAGGGCCTCCCCACGCTCCCTTGCTCTGGGGGCCTCTGGCTCTGCCCGTGTCCTGCAGAGCCATTTTTGGGGCCCACATCCGATCATCAGGGTGTGCTGAGTGCTGGGGGCAGAGTGTGGAGCGTGGTGACCAGGTAAGGGCAGCCCTCCGGCAGGGTCACACTGCCCAGCTCGAGTTCAGAGGTGGGCTCTGATCCTGGGCAAGTGCTGCCACATCTCTGAGTCTAGGGTTCTTCCCTTGTAGTGTACAGACACGATCAGTTGTCAGTCACCGTGGGGCTGATAGTGAGCTAGCACTTGGAAGGCTGGGGCAGAAGACAGAAGTAGAGGTGATCCACTCACCAGTCCATCTGCACCCCGCTGGGAATTCTGAAAGTACTTTTCAGAGAGGATTGGATTGAGCAGGATATACTCTAGCGGGTGGGTGGGAACACACAGCCTGTGCCTAAAGAAGGGCTGAAGGGACTGGGCGCGCAGAAGCTAGCAGGGCGGGGCTGGGCGGGGCAGGGGAGAGTGGAGCGTCATGTTGAATTTGAGTGCTGAAGCGCCAAGCTGGTTCCTGCCTGGGTATGAGCACACTTGGGAGGAAACCAGCTGGTTCTCTTCAGGCAGTCAGCAGACTCAGATGAAGGCCAGCTGCTTCCCTCCAGGGCACCTGCCTGCCCAGGCGAAGGTCCCTGGGCTGGCCTGCCCCATCCCGCAGTGCTGCCCCTGTCCTGATGCCCTGGAAGGCCTCCTCTGGATACCTCTGATCCAGAGCGTCCTGGGCTTGGAATTCTTCACCCAGGCGGAGCCCACGAGGAGAAGCCCTGCGCCCCCTGCTCGGCCCCCGACCGCCCAGGAGGTGTGCTACCGACGGGCCCAGCAGGCGCAGAGGGAGTCAGCTGGCTGGCTCCAGGCCGCCCAGCAGCTGGCTGAGAAGCCGAGCTCTGTCCACATCTCGGCCCCAGGAGAGAAGCGGAGGATCGCCCATGTCCCCAACCCCCTCCTGGCTGCAGGTGGGTCCGAAAGGCTGGGGAATGCTGCCACCAGCAGGGAGAGCCCCGGCCTGGCTCCTGCTCTGCCGGGGGCTGTGGCCTTGAGCAGTGCTGGCTGGATGTCTGTGCTTACCTGTGAAGCAGCCCCGATGCTAGTGGGAGGTGCTTGGCTGGGCTACCCTGGGGAGTCCGAGGGTGGCTTCCTCCCTTCCCTGTCTGTCCCCAGACCCAGAGTGACTCTCCACTCCTCCCCTGCCAGCCTGGTCTAGGAGGCTCCTACCTAGGTGTGGCACCTCACAGGGTGTTACTGAGGGGGTGGCTCTGGAGGCCCTCAACCCTCCAGTCAAACCAGTGGATCTGGGGTAGAGATTGGGGCTGGGTTTCCTCCCCTCCCACCCTGAGGCCGCTGTCCTCTTACTTGGGCTTTTCTGAAAGCTGGGTTACACCCCAACAGTCTGACAAGCGTGGGGCTTAGGCATGCAAAGGGAGCAGGGCTATGCAGCCCCTGGAGGCTCATCCAGATGCAGAGAATTCAGCTTCCCTGGGTGGGAGTCCCTGCTATCTGACCACCTCCCTGGGTGTCCTTGCTGCTGCTTCCAATACCCCTCCAAGAGCCAGCCTCAAGGAAACGGCTCCAGGTGTCTGAAGGCTTCTTAGGTTTCCTGGTGCTAGAGCCTCCCAGAGGAGAAGCCCTTGGCGTTCCTGGCCCTCCCCTCAAGGTGTCTGAGCCCGAGCTCCCAGCAGCCATGCAGTCCATCTCCAGCAGGGCACGAGGGGACAGGAAGGGAGACAGCCCTGGACCGTGGCCCTGAGGCGCACGTTCAGAAGCCTAACCTTACTCTGAGCTGTCTGGTCATCTCCGATGACAGGACAGTTCTGTGGCAGTGTCACTGCCTGCACTCTGGCAGCAGGGCGGTTCCCCCAAGCCTCAGGGGGACTCCCCTGCCGACGCCTCCTACTCTCCGTGACCCTGAAAGCATCACTGAGAAGTGTGCATCCTTAGAGATGAGGCTGGTGGGGAGCTCACCTCCCTCGTGGCTGAGCCTGGTGTGGGCAGGCTTGGGTCACCACTCTGTCCGCGCCTTGGTGGTCTCACTCTGTCCCCATGCCCCTTCCCCACCCTTACTGCCAGCTGCTGCTCCGCCTGGGGCCCTTGGAGACAGCCCTGCTGGCGGCCCCCTCCTCTGTCTGGTTTGTGACCTCATCAAAGGGAGTGGCAGAACACTGGGGCAGCTGCAGGCAGCCGGCTGGTCACAATGAGTGGGCTGGGGGCGACCCGCATGCTCTGGTGCTCAGCCTGGGAGCTAGGGCCTTTCGTCCCTCACACTTCCATGCCTTGGAGTCGGGGGCCGGAACATGTGGCAGAGGCTCCCTGCACCCCCCACCACTCACCGCACCACACCGGCGGTGACCTTGCCTGAGCCGGCCTCCGAAGCCCCATTTTTGCCCCCGCCCCCTCGATGGACTTACCCGAAAGCCTATAGAGCCTGATGTCATTCTACAGCCCTCGGGCCCGACCCCGGCCCCTCCCCCTGTGCTCCCAGATGCATGTCCTGCTGGCGCTCCACGGCCGCGGCCGCCTGGTGCTTTGTAGCTCGGTGATGGGCGTGCTCTCCTCCTGTTCTCACGGCCCCTGTGCCCCTGCAGCCCCTACAGGCGCCAAGAGGACCCTCTCGGCCAGCAGCAGCCAGCCCCCCAGCGGCCCTGAGCCAGGCAGCCAGCCCCTGAAGACGCGCACATTGTCGGGCATGGCGTCCAAGACCACCACCACCATGGCCCCCAAGCGTGTGGCGCACAGCCCATCCTTACAGGTGAGCCCTCGGTACTGCCTGCTGTCTCCCTTTAACTGAGTCGACCCTGAGCTGGGTCAGGCCAGGGTCAGGTGGGAGCAAGTGTGCCACCCTCTGCTGGTTTCTGTTCCTCTAGAGTTTAAAGAAGCCCATTATCCCAAAAGAGTTCGGGGGCAAAGTCCCCACTGTCATCCGCCAGCGGTATCTCAACCTGTTTATTGAAGAGTGCCTCAAATTTTGCTCTTCTAACCAGGAAGCCATAGAGAAGGTGCGTGGTGAGGGTGGGAGAGTGGGGGCATGGTGGGAGGCAGGGCCGGGTGGGGTTGAGTCCATGTCCTCCCACAGGCGCTCAACGAGGAGAAGGTAGCCTACGACCGCAGCCCCAGCAAGAACATCTACCTGAACGTGGCTGTGAACACCCTCAAGAAGCTGCGCGGCCTGGGCCCAGGTGCCGGAGCAGGTCTCAACAGTAAGTCACGTGCAGAAGACCCAGGCCTCGGCCTTCAGCAGCCCCCCTCCCGTCAGGAGGCTGTCAGACAGAGGCTCTGCTGTCCCCGGTTGTCTGGCTCCTGTGGAGGATGATGTTGGCCCTGCGCCCTCAAAAGAGCCTCCTCTCACTGTTAACCGTCCTCCTCAGTGAACTGTGGGGCTGTTGCTAATGGGGGGCCTCTTCAAAAGCTTGAGGCAGGAGGGTGCTTCTTAAGCTTCTTACAGAATGCATTGGCGCCTTCTGCACTTCTGTCTGCCATGGGCTGGCCCCCCTTCCTCCCATGTGGAGCTCTTGCCCTTCCCTTCTGAGTGGTGAAGACCCCAGGGAGGGGGAGGGGCTTCCGGGCAGCCTACTGGTCCCCAAAGAGTTAAGGTCATAGGAGGTCAAGCTGTTCCCTTCTTTGGGGGAGCAGGGCACTTGGAAGGACTCAGGCTGAACTGTGTTCACTACCCTCTTGTAGAAACCAGTGGCCGGAGGGTGGTGTCTCATGAAGTGGTGCTGGGGGGCAAGTTGGCTGCCAGGACCAGCTTTTCGCTCAGCCGCCCTAGCAGCCCCCGTGTGGAGGATCTGAAAGGTGAGCCTGGCTCCTGCAGGGCTGCCCCGGAAGCTCTCAGCCCCCTTTGCCAGGGCCCTGGTGTGGCCCCAGTGTGGCTGCAGGCTGACTGCCTCTCCCGTGTCCCCAGGGGCTGCCCTATACAGCCGCCTCAAGGAGTACCTGCTCACAGAGGGCCAGCTGAAGGAGAATGGCTACCCCTTCCCGCACCCTGAGAAGCCTGGCGGCGCCATCATCTTCACAGCCGAAGAGAAGAAACCCAAGGACTGTGAGTACCCTGCACCACCGCCCTGGGGTGCGGGGGCTGGGGAGGGGTCCATCTGGGGATGGAGTGTTAGAGCCAACGGGTGTGGACACAGAGTTCTGGGCCAGGCAGGCTGGCCTGATGCACACCACCCCACCTGGTAGCCTCCTGCAGGATCTGCTGCCGCTGCGGCGCTGAGTACCTCGTGTCCTCCTCTGGCCGCTGCATGCGCGAGGAGGAGTGTTACTACCACTGGGGGCGGCTCCGCCGGAACCGAGGTGAGACCCCTGCCGGGCTGGGCTGTGCTGGCTACTTGCTCTGATTGTTTGTAACTTTTTTTTTTGACTGTGGGTTTTTATGGAAAAGATAATCCAAAGGCCTTCCTGTGACAGCATTCATAAAAGGAAGGTCTCTCGTCCAACCCACTGGGTGCCCTTTCCACCCCTGTTGCCTTTGAAGAATAGGGGCAGTTTGGTCCAAGGGAACCAAGGCTTCATCCTGTCTTGTGGCTGCTTGCTTCCTTTTGTAGCCAGTGTGGCCATTTCCCACGCATGGGCACATACAAGCCTCCTTAAGTTCTGCCCGCTGGCTGCCCTAGACGCTCTCTGGGTGAGCAAGCCTCCCTGGGGCCACACCAAGCTCGTCCGCACTGCTTAATGAGGAGAACTGGTCCTGGGTGAGGGTGGGAGGGGGTCTACCAGGGGTCTTGGCCCCTCACGCCCTGGTTGGGCCTGGTGCCCCCCTAGGGAAGGGGGCTGGGAAGCCCCTGACCACCAGGCAGACCGGGTGTGGTGGACTGGGCCGGGGCATCGGGTGGACCTGCTTGACCGCATCTGTTTGTAGTGGCCGGTGGCTGGGAGACTCAGTACACATGCTGCTCAGCTGCCATAGGCTCTACTGGCTGTCAGGTCGCCAAGGTAAGTGTCCTGGGTCATTCCTTGTCCTGGGGAGTGCTGGCCCCAAGCCTCCCTTTTCCCGTCCTTGATTTTCCCGCCTGGTGTGGGGACCTTGGGTAAAGGACTGCTGCCAGCACAGCCCAGCCCCTGAGTCCAGCCTTGCCTTTCCGAGCCCACCACCTGATTTTCCCTTCCTCCTACCCCAAGCAACACGTGCAGGATGGCCGGAAGGAAAACTTAGAAGGGTTTGTGAAGACTTTTGAGAAAGAGCTTTCAGGAGATGCGCATCCAGGAGTCTATGCCCTCGACTGTGAGATGGTGAGTGGGCCTGGCTGCCCTGGACTTCCTCATCCCTCGGGGGGCTTTCTGCCCAGGAGGGAGAGGCTTCCCAGTCCCTCTTGCAGAACCTCAGGCCTGCGCCGGCATCAGAAGAGGGTGTCTGGCAGTGAGTCCACCTCCCTGCCGAGCTCACGTTACAGCCTGGCCAGCACCTGAGTCTGAGGGCCTGGTGCACAACACAGCCCCTGGCTCAGCTCTGGTGTGGGGAGGGCGGGCACCCATGTTCTTCTCTCCCTCTGACCCCCCAGAGAAGCCCCTGGGAAGCTCTCTGGCATGGGTTCCGTATCTAAAAGCGGGGCCTCAGTTGCCACCTGTGGGGCTCAGGGACCCTGGGCTGTGGAGCAGGAAGGGCTGTCAGGACCCTCCGTCTGAGGCGTGTCCCCCGGCCCCACAGTCCTACACCACGTACGGCCTGGAGCTGACGCGCGTCACGGTGGTGGACACGGACCTCCAGGTTGTATACGACACCTTTGTCAGGCCAGACAACGAGATTGTTGACTATAACACTAGGTGCGCGCCCTCTGCCCATTCCCCATTACAGCCCAACCCCTGCCTGCAGCCCAGTCCCCGCCTGGCCCCAGGTTGGGGCCTCCCAGCTCCATAACGCCTCTGTCCTCCCGCCCAGGTTTTCAGGAGTGACGGAGGCTGACCTTGCAGACACGAGCATCTCTCTCCGGGATGTCCAGGCCGTGTTGCTGAGCATGTTCAGCTCAGACACCGTCCTCATTGGTCACAGTCTGGAGAGCGACCTGCTGGCCTTGAAGGTATCCTGTTCCCTCCATCCTGATTCCCGGAACGTTCCCAGAAGGCAGCTAGGGCCCATTGTTCTCAGTCCAGGGAGGGAGCTGTGGAGTCTGAGGCCAGGCCCCGGCGTGCACTCTGGGACCCTCCCTGACCGTCCGCCCACTTGCTTGCAGGTCATCCACAGCACCGTGGTGGACACGTCCGTGTTATTCCCGCATCGCCTGGGCCTCCCCTACAAGCGCTCCCTGCGGAATCTCATGGCCGACTACCTCAGACAGATCATCCAGGACAATGGTGAGTGCTGGGGCACGGGCACATGGGGGCCTTGAGGGCTATGGGGGCCGCAGGCTCCCGGCCCTGACACACCTGTTTGCTTGCAGTGGATGGGCACAGCTCCAGCGAGGATGCCAGTGCCTGCATGCACCTGGTGATCTGGAAGATCCGAGAAGACTCCAAGACCAAGCGGTGACCGCCGCCTGCCCGCCCACCCGCCTCTCCCACAGCCCCGGCCCGTCCTCTACCCCAGGCCTCTTCCAAAACAGTGCAATAAATCTCGAGAGCTAACCCTGTCCACGTCACCGAGACACAGAAAACCGAGAGAACCAGATGAGCCGGCGGCAGAGAGCCCAGCACCGAGACCGACCCCGGAGCCCTGAGCCCCTCTGCACCCCTGCTCATCCCTGCCGCTGCCCCTGACCTCTGTCCTCTGAGACTGCTGCTGACTCCACGGGCAGGGCCGGCCTGCCATCCCCACAGGCCCTGCTGGTGCCCCTTCTTGTGGGTGGAGGGTGCGGGGGTGGCAGGCTTAAGGGTTTGTTTGTGACAGGGGTTTGTCTTTTTATTTTGTATTGTTATTTTTATTATTTTGAATTTAAACCTGATGACTTGACAGTTGTCTTCCCCACCCGGAGGAGCAAGAGCCCGGTGCTGCCTTCCCTCCTGGGGGTGGGGGTGGAGCTGGGAGCGCAGCCGGCACCCCAAAGGCCACCAGGACCTGGGAGTTCCACCTAGCCTGGGCCTGGACAGTGGGATCTGGCCTCCCCAGCTTACCTGGACCCTGGGGCTTCTGGGAACCAATCCAGCCCCTCCATCAGCCCCCCAGGCCTCGCCTTCTGGACACCCTAGGGCCTACTGGCCTCTGGACACTGTCTTCCCGCCAGAGCCCTGCCCTCCCCTGGGGGCTGTCTGTAAAGCCCCACAGCCCCCTTCCAAGACTCCCTCCCCCCCCAGGCAGGGGCAGAATAAACGTTTGTATGGATTTTAGAGCCTCTGGCATCTGGTGTGTTCTTGCTGCCAGGTGTGGCTTCCATGCACAGTGGGGGTCACTGTCACCCCTAGTTGGGGGGTGGGGGGTCAGGACCTTGCTCTCCCTCGTGGACCCAGGGCCCCATGCTTCCAGACCCTTCCCAGTGCTGGTGATTACAGCCAGCAGCCAAGAGTCAGGCCCCTGCCACTAGCCACTGACGATCCTGACCCTCTGGGACCCATTATGACCCATATTCTAGTGACCTATTGACTACCCCCCCCCCCCCGCTTTTTTTGAACAAGGAGTGGTTTTCTAAATACAGGATGCAAGCATGTCTCCAAAGGACATTGCTGTGTGGGTTCCATCCCTCTTCCCCTCCCCAGAGCATGAGTACCCCAGGGAGGCCTTGGGCAACTGGGGAAGGGGCTTCAAGATGCAGGGGAGGGGCTCAGGTTGGGAGTGAGAGGAAAGCTTTCAGCTTGCCAAAACTGCTGGTCCACAGAGGCCGAAGAGCCTTTGCAAACCAGATTCTGCCTACTTGGGAAACTGCTGTCCCTTCTGTCACCATGTGGGGAGGGCCAGTGCTGAGTACCCAATGCCCTCTGCATAGGTGCACGCCTGGTGGTGGTGTCTCCTGGAGGCTGTTGGAGCAATTTGTCCAAGTCCCTCCCCAGGGTGTTTCTCAGTAAGCCCTGGATAGGGATGGAAGAGCGGGATACTGCTCGATGTTCAAGGCTCCCCAAGAAATGGGGGCGGAGGTTGCTGCTCTGATGGGGCGGTCAGCTCCTGTGTTGTGTCTCCACCCCATCATTCATTCACCCAACATCAGTTAGGAAGGCAGGACAGGCAGGCACATTTGGCCTGTTGGGTCACAGCTGGCCAGAGGGAGGGACTGACTCCAAAGCTGGGGAAGTAACTTCCTAATTTCTGTTCTTCAGAAGGTTCCTTAAAAGAATATGAAAAACATGGAGAAGGAAATGGCAACCCACTCCAGTATTCTTGCCTGGAAAAGTCCATGGACAGAGGAGCCTGGCGGGCTGCAGTCCATGGGATTACATGACTGAGCATGTGTGCAGGAGGGTGGAGGGAAATGGGTTGGTAGCAATAAAGTGGTAGAACTTAAAAAAAAAATGAGAAACAGCTTAGTCACCTCCTGTGAACCCTCAAACTTGCCCCTTCTAAGAGGACCCCACCTAGTAGTGCCTCACACTCACTGCCCCACCCTGGCCCAAGTACCGTAACTCTGGCCTGAATGCTGCCCAAGCCTCATTGCTGTCTCCCACCCCTGCCCCCTCCAAGAAGGCTCCCAGAGCCCTAGCTGGGTGCTGAGTAGGCAAACTCCAGGCTGTAACCCTCTGTGCTGCTTCCTGGTAGGATGGTCTCAGTGGTTCTAACAGCCTTCCCCAACCAGACGCCCAACACTTACCTGTGCATAGGAGATGCTCATTGAAATGGGATGAATGAAAGAGAACCGAGGCCCATGGGTCAGACTCAGGTCGCGATTATCTAACACCCCAAGTCCTTCCTCTGCCTCTAGCCTCTCCCCAACCCTGTGGCCCCACCCAGCTTCAACGAGGTCCAACCCACCTCACTGAGTGCAAGCTTTACAAGATTCCACCACTAAAGGACTTGCCCCTGTGTCCTTTGCGACCAGAGTTTCTTGTGAATGACAAACCTAGACAGAATGTAAAAAAACAGAAATATCACTTTGCCGACAGAGGTCCATATAGTCAAAGCTATGGTTTTTCCAGTAGTCATGTATGGATGTGAGAGTTGGACCATAAAGGCTAAGCCCTGAAGAACTGATGCATTTGAAAAGTGGTGCTGGAGAAGACTTTGACTTCTGACCCGTCTGACTCTTTGCGACCACATGGACTGCAGCACGCCAGGCTTCCCTGTCCTTCACCATCTCCTGGAGCTTGCTCAAATTCATATCCATTAAGTCAGTGATGCCACCCAACCATGTCGTCCTCTATCATCCCCTTCTCTTCCTGCCTCCAATATTTCCTAGCATCAGGGTCTTTTCCAGTCAATCAGTTTTTCACATCAGGTGGCCAAAGTATTGGAGCTTCAGCTTCAGCATAAGTCCTTCCAATGAATATTCAGGGTTGATTTCCTTTAGGATTGACTGGTTTGATCTCCTTGCAGCCCAAGGGATTCTCAAAAGTCTTCTCCAGCACCACTTTTCAAATGCATCAATTCTTCAGGGCTTAGCCTTTATGGTTCAGCTCTCACATCCATACATGACTACTGGAAAAACCACAGCTTTGACTATATGGACCTCTGTCAGCAAAGTGATATTTCTGTTTTTTTACATTCTGTCTAGGTTTGTCATTCACAACAAACTGTGGAAAATTCTTAAAGAGATGGGAATACCAGACCACATGACCTGCCTCTTGAGAACTCTGTATGCAGATCAAGAAGCTACAGTTAGAACTGGACTTGGAACAACAGACTGGTTCCAAATTGGGACAGGAGTACCTCAAGGCTGCATATTGTCATCCTGCTTATTTAACTTATATGCAGAGTACATTATGAGAAACACTGGCCTCGAGGAAGCACAAGCTGGAATCAAGATTGCCAAGAGAAATATCAATAACCTCAGATATGCAGATAACACCACACTTATGGCAGAAAGCAAAGAAAAACTAAAGAGCCTCTTGATGAAAGTGAAAGAGGAGAGTGAAAAAGTTGGCTTAAAACTCAACATTCAGAAAACTAAGATCATGGCTTCTGGTCCTATCACTTCATGGCAAATAGATGGGCAACAATGGAAACAGTGACAGACTTTTTTGGGGGGGGCTCCCAAATCACTGCAGGTGGTGATTGCAGCCATGAAATTAAATGATGCTTACTCCTTGGAAGAAAAGTTATGACCAACCTAGACAGCATATTAAAAAGAGACATTACTTTGCCAACAAAGGTCCATCTAGTCAAAGTTTTGGTTTTTCCATGGATGTGAGAGTTGGACTAAGCACCAAGTAACTGATGCTTTTGAACTGTGATATTGGAAAAGACTCTTGAGAGTCCCTTGGACTGCAAGGAGATCCAACCAGTCCATCCTAAAGGAGGTCAGTCCTGAGTGTTCATTGGAAGGACTGATGTTGAAGCTGAAATTCCAATACTTTGGCCACCTGATGAGAACTGACTCATTGGAAAAGACCCTGATGCTGAGAATGATTGAAGGCGGGAGGAGAAGGGGACGACAGAGGATGAGATGGTTGGATGGCATCACTGACTCAAAGGACATGGGTTTGAGTAAGCTCTGGGAGTTGGTGATGGACAGGGAAGCCTGGCGTGCAGCGATTCATGGGGTCGCAAAGAGTCGGATACGACTGAGCGACTTAACTGAACTAACAGGTTTGTCATAGCCCCTTAATACAAAAACCCAGATTAAGACTCTTCCATCAAGCCCCGCTGTCAACGCCTCACTAGGCCTCGCCTTCGGCCCCGCCCCTTGGTCCCGCCTCCGTTAGCTCCGTTGAGCGAGGTCACACTAGGCTCCGCCCCCTTGAGCCTTGTTCGGCGTGGATGACTCTCGGCCCCGCCTTCGGTATTGGCCCTGCTTCTGGGTAACGCCCTTCTTCCTTGGACTCACCTTCCGCTAGGCCACGCCCTCGACGTCCTGCACCGTCCTTGGCCCCGCCCGCTTTCTCCCCGTTCCTCGAGGTCACTGGGCCCTGCCTTCGGCTCCGCCCCTTTTGACCCTGTTCAGTTTGGCCTCGCTCGACCCCGCCTTAGGCCCCGCCCCTACTTTAGTATTGGCCCCGCCTTCGGCCCTAGACCCCGCCCTTCATCTCAGCTCCGCCCCGCGCCCGCGCCGCCCGTTTCAGGCCCGTTGGCCCCCGGCTAACAGCTTCCACCACGTCCGTCGCTTTGAACTCCAGCGGACTGCCCCAGGCAGCCCGGCCCCGTCCGCCCCGGCCCGCGCAGGTGAGCGGCGGCGCTTCCACAGCTGTGTATCTCCGTGGGCCCGCGCACCCTCTTTGAACTCCGCCGGGCCTGAAGGCCGGAGGCCGTGGCGGAGGAGGCGCCCCCTAGAAGTCCGCGCGGGCCAGGGTCCGGACGGGCGCCGGAGGTCAGGGTGTCTGCTGGACCGACATCTCCCGGTGCATTTTCCGGGGGCTGGGCAGCGAATCCTGCGTCGCTTCGCAGTGGGAATGCTCGGGATTTCCCCGGGGTTAGTGGGCGTTCTGGTGAGCCAAGAGTGCGGTGAGGAGGAAGCAAGTCCTTGTTGGGGGAGGCGTGTTGCCGTCCCCAGATACACTGCGTGAGTTCTGACCAGCACAATCCTCTAACCCCATCTGGCCCTGGCCGGGGTTCCTAGTGGCTCTGGTCCCACAGGCTGAGCCTCACTCACCCCGAGCCTCGTTTTTTCTCATCTGGCGAATGGGCACTGGCCTTCATCAAGCTCCCGGGAGGGTCAGCGCCGGCCCTGAGTCAGGCCCTCCCCCCACACCTCACCCCGGGGCCCTGGGGACACCAATGACTCAGACGCCAGCAGTCCCTGCTCTGGGAGGTTCCGGTTTCAGCAGGCAGCCCAGATAGGGGAAGAAGCAGAGAAAGGATGATCAGAGCTGGGATGGGGGACCCTGCAGGCAGAAGGGAGGCCCAGAGGAGGCGCCAGAACAAGCCTGGGCCGTCGGAGAAATATGAGCTGAGAGCAGATGGGTGAGGAGCCTCCAGTCAGCCTGTCAAGAGGGAACCGTCCTGCTGGGAGAGGGAACAGCGGGACCAGGGGTGTGCAGTGCTGGGGCTGTGGGTCATTTGGGGAGCTGCCAGAGGCACTGAAGGACTAGGAGGGGCCAGGCTCCTGGCTCTATGGAAGTCTGGTGGTTGCTGCCCCAGGGCCACACTCAGACCTCTTAGCCCCTTGGCCGCATACACTCCCTTTCGAGATATGACAGAGAACACTGGGGGCCCATTTAGTCTGTCAACAAAGAAATAGATTGAACACCTGACCAGGCTGGATGTCGTGTGCTATGTGGAAGAACATGTGTGCAGCCTTTCCAGAAGCGGCAATGGGGGGCTTGGACTACGGAGGGCTGTGCGGGGCTGTGGGGTGGGGAACAGTGGCCAGGTGACCGCAGAAGTGAGCAAGGACTCACAGCTGGTGACGGGACCTTCAGATTCTGGGGAGGAGACTCGCAGGTGGGTGTAGGAAATTACTTTTCCAAGAAGGTTGGAGTGGTGGGCACTGTACGGCTGCCAGTGTGACCTCAGGCCACTCTGCCCAACAGCCCCACCAGCATGGGCAGTCTCACGTACCGAGAAGACCTTGAAGAAGAGAAGAACTCAGGTGCATGTCTGGGCGAAGCGTGGGCATAGGGTGGGGGGAAAGGTGTGGGCACAAGGTGGGCTCCACCAAGGGGCATTAGAAAGTGCAGTGGCTGAAGTGGGGAGACAGGAGGCCCAGTGTGGGGTTCTCCTGGGGTTACAGACAGTTCAAAACCCTGGGACTGAAGGGTGGACTCAGGACTTGGAAGCCTGAGACCCAGAGCACCTGGGCTGGGCATGGAGCCTCCGACACCTTGGAGCTCATCCCTGGGGCCTTGTAGTTTACCCCTCTGTAGAAGGAGTGGGTGTGAATAGGTCTCCCATGGCCTAGGAGTTGTTTCAGGGTGGCTGGATCCTCAGATCTACCTGGGCTCCCCGAGCAAGTGCCTACCGTGTACAGAGGCTGAGGGCCCTCCTGTCTGTTTACCAGCTGGATCCCCTGGGGGCCCATTAGCCCTCCTCCGGGGTGTCATTGGCCTGTGTTTATCCTCCAGAGTTCACCTGGGAAGTGCAGGCCAACAACCAGGCCTACAACAGCCAGTTCAAGGAGAAGGTCTTTCTGTGTTGGCAGAGAAAGAAGTACAAGGTGGGCAGGCCTCCCCCATCCTTGCTCCCACGGGCTTTGGGGACCTGCCAGTGAGGGAGAGTGGCCACTGGGGCTCTGCCTGCTGGGTTCTCCAACTTGGTCCTGAGGACTGTAGTGCTGCCCTCGCAGAGTCCCTGGTCTGGCACGGGTGCCCCACGTGGCTCCTCTACCCTAAATACGTTCCTAGGCAGCCTTCAAAGTACAGTGTGTCCGTCAGGCTCTGCCTACCTGCAGGGAATCCTGGGGTCACCAACCCAGCTCACCAAGCCTGCTCCCAGTAGGGGCTCTATTCATGCTGTCCGTGGCTGGAGGCTGTGCCGGTGGGTGGAGGCCAGGTGGGGCTAGGCGGGCAGACCGCCACGCTAGCTCTCCTTCCAGAAGAACGTCATCCACACGGCCAAGTACAATGTCTTCTCCTTCCTGCCCTTGAACCTGTACGAGCAGTTCCACCGCTTTTCCAACCTCTACTTCCTTTTCATCATCCTCCTCCAGGTGAGGTGGGGGCAGCCCAGGAGTCAGTGCCCATGGTCACTCCACTCCATCTACCTGCTTGAGCTGTCTCCTCCAGGAAGCCCCCAGCCCCACCCCAGGGACTTCCCACCTTCCCACATGGCTCTGTAGACCCATGTGTTTGTCTGTGTGGTTAGTGGGTCAGTGTCCATCCCCCACACACTGGGAGTTCCCTTATGGCTGGATCCTCACTGCCCAGCCCAGGACCTGGAACACAGGACGTGCTCAATATCTATTGAAGGATGTGAGTGCATGGATGGCTCCTCCAGGTATGAAGAGGCCTCTGGACCCCTTTGGCCTCAGCAGGTCCCAGAGGGCGAGGAGGAAGGATCAGCTTCTAGGGACCCACTGGGTTCCTTCCTGGCATCAGGCTGGTCATGGGTGGAGATGGGTGAGCAGTGGTGGGTAGAGATGGGGCCCTGTGTGGTGCGGGAAGTTTCCAAAACACCCCAACTCATACCCAGTATCTCATTCTGATCTGAGTAGAGTGAGACACTGCTTTTATCCATCGAGCCAGTAAACACTTATTGAGGACCTACTGTATGCAGGTCCTGTTCTGGGCACTGGGGACCCAGTAGTGGCCCTGACACCTGTCTTAAGGTGGCTCAGGACTGGGGGAATTCACTGTCATTAAACAACATGGTAGCAACCAGTGATGGGGTGGGCCCCCACCCAGACTGTGCTGAGGGCAAATCTGAGGTTGCACAGAGGGGATCCCATGAGAGCCAAGGCCTTGAGGAGGAACAAGTGTGGGGTTGGGAGGGCTTCCTGGAGGAGAGGACCTGGTGCGGGGTGGTGCATGGAAGGAAGAGGAGGCAGTGATGGGCAAGAGGTCCAGGCGGGGAGAGGGCCTAGAGGGGAGTTGCCTGGAGGTGGGAACGGCAGGTTGTGAGGTTGTGGTGCTGGATGTGTGGGTGGGAGGGTGCAGGATTGGGGGGAAGGGTGGCGGTCAGGGTGCCCAAGAGGGTTGGCCGGCATGACCCATCCTCTGTGTCAGAGCATCCCCGAGATCTCCACGCTGCCCTCGTTCACTCTGCTCGTCCCGCTCATCTGCCTCCTCACCATCCGGGCCATCCGAGACCTGGTGGATGATATTGTAAGCAGGGACGGGGTGGGGGCAGGGTGAAGGCAGGTGGGTCCTCCTGACTCCTGGGTGTGGTGGGAGGAAGGCCCACACAGGCAGCCCCAGTGGGCTGTGTCATCCATTGTGCCCTGTGGCCACTGGGGCAGGTGCCAGTGTCCCTTCAGCACGTCATCCAAGTGTGCACACGGGCGGCCTGCAGGAAACCGCCCTCTTTCTGCTGTCAACACTCTCCTGGGGGCAGGGTCACTGGACAGACACCATGGGTTTGGGCTCTCTAGCCAGGCACCTGTGTCTGTCCTGTTGCCTAAGTGGCATGAGGGGAATTGTTGCTGCTCTGACCTACCCCCATCGGCTTAGGGGCGACACAGGAGTGACAAGATCGTCAACAATCGGCCGTGTCAGATCCTAATGGGGAAGAGGTGAGGCCGCAGCAGCTGGGTGCGTGATCTACCCAAGGGAGGCAACCCCAGCATGGCAGAGGAATGGACACTCATAGGGGGTGTGCCTGGAAGATCATCCAGCACCTTGGGAGCTCCTGGACATCCTGTGGGGCCAGGGAAACCCAGACCAGCACTTATTAGATGGCTGCTGTTTACTAGGCTTGGGGTGGGCCCTGTGAAGGGGCAGGGGCTGAAGATCCAACTGTTCACCCTCATGGAGCAGAGTTCAGCCAAAGGGGAGGGCAGGAAGGTCTGAAGGGCCTTGCAATCTGGGAGGAGGGAGCAATCCAGGGCAGGAGGGTGGGGGCTGGGAGGACTCCCCACCCCACCCCTGCCACCCCCACCCATGCAGCTTTCTGTGGAGAAAATGGAAGAATATACATGTGGGAGACCTGGTCTGTCTGCATAAAGACAGCATTGTCCCGGTGAGCTGCAGAGGGGTGCTCCAGAGACAGGGCAGTCCCCCCCCCCCCCCCCCTCCCCGTCCCTCACCCTGCTGGTCTCCCACACTCTGCCCCTATGCAAGGCCATCATCGCTAGTCAGGGAGCTGGGTGGGGGTTCGGAGGCAGGGCTGCCCCCTACCCCCCACCACTGGTCTTCCCCCTCTCTGCCTCCATACAAGGCTGTCATCTCCCACCCTGTTCCCCACCCCAGGCTGACTTGGTTTTGCTGGCCAGCACAGAGCCCAGCAGCTTGTGCTATGTGGAGACGGCTGACATCGACGGGTGAGACCAGGTCATCACTAGGGCTTTTGGGGACTTGGGGGCTGCACACCCAGCCCACTTGGATGTTGTGGTCCTTTGCCCTGGGAGCATGCGGACACTTGAATGCCAGCTGGGGCAATAAAATGCACCACCATTTCTGGAAGCCCATCTCCCCCACCCACCATGAGCCAAATGCCAAAGCAAGAAGGCCCAGGGTCTGGCCTCAGCCCTTTGGCAAACATACTGTGTGGCCTTGGGCAAGGCCCTCTCCCTCTCTGGGCCTCAACCTCCTGCTTGCAGCTGGTGCACAGTAGGTACTTAGGGAAAATGCCAGAGTGGCTCTGGAAAGAGGCTGGGCACTTCCTGACTAGGCACTGTCTGTCCCCACCTTTTGTCTTGCTCCTCTTCTTGTCACCAGGGAGACCAACTTGAAGTTCAGGCAGGCCCCAATGATCACGCACCACGAGCTGACCAGTATAAGGAAGATAGCCTCCTTCCAAGGTGGGAGCTGGCAAACCCATCCAGCCCCTCTGGGCTCTGTCTCCCCCCGTGCACCCATCCCCCGCAGTGGGAGCACAGGTTCCTCACCTGCTCGGTGGAGGGTGTTGTGCAGCTTCTGACATCCAGATGTGCACATTACCATCTATTGTCCTGTCTTATTTATTCCCAGACCATTGGGGCTGAGAGAATTTTTAGCAGACAGACTTCTTCCAGGTCCATATCAAATCCCTTAAACCAGTGTAACAGTGGAGGTGTTTCTGTCGTTATTACAAGGCGAGCTACAGCATTTGACCAAGTGTTACATTTTATTTTTAACCCATGACCACTTTAAAGCAAATGCTTTTGGTTGTTTATTCAAAAAGGCAGCCTATGGGAATTCCTTGGAGGTCCATTGGTTAGCACTTTCACTGCCAGGGCCTGGGTTCAATCCCTGGTCAGGGAACTAAGATCCCACAAGCCGAGTGGTGCGACCAGAAAGAAAAAACAAACAAACAAAAAAACAAAACCAAGGCAGCCCATGTACACTGGCTAGCAATTCACTTACATGTTGGGAGAGGCCCAAAGGGACATCTCCAGGTTTATTATTTTTTGCCAGGAAAGTATGACATTTCACACCTATTGGTTCAGTTACTGTTTGCTGAAACCCAGCAAAGGGATAATTTTTTTAAATTGTTACTATTTGCTATCATTATTTTCCTGTCACATTGCAAAGGCAAGTTACTCTAATTGGTTTTGGAGCATGCCAGAACCTTTCTCTCCAAGCACAGCCCCTCTGCTCCTGACATCCAGACACTGTTTGTGTGTCTGCTCACGGATCTGGGGAAATGCCTTGCCATCCTGACAGCTCTCTCTGGGTCCTGACCCACCCCCAGCTACCCCAGCATCCCTGCCCATTTTGCAGAGGAGGGGACTGCAGTTCAGAGGGGTAATGAGAGGTGTGGGCTTGCCCCATGGCTCCTCCTTCCTTCTCCCACCCCTCCCTAGACAGATCTCATGTCTACCTTCAGGAAACACAGGCTCCAGCCCCTGAGAAGGAAGGGTGGGGGTCACTTAGGAGCCCTGTGGGCCCCCCAGCCCACTCCCTGCCAAATGCTGTCTTGGGCCAGCCTTTGTATGCTGGGTGGGTTTTGTCAAACAGAAGTGAGACCAGTGGCTGTACTCTCTCAGGATGATGGTGGACAGGCCCTCCCCTACTGCCTGCTGGGGGAACTCTGTGCCCTGTGTTTGGTCCCTGTAGTTTAGGGTGCTGGATGGGGGCACCCCTTCCTTCCCTCCCTCCTCACACATGTATTCAGCATTTACTGTGTGTCAAGTGCTGGACTGGGCCCTGGTGTCCCCAGCTCAACTAAGATAAGGCTGGTTCCTGCACTGGTGGACCTTACAAACATTTAAAAGATAATTATTGATTTGTTTGGCTGTGCTGGTATGTGGGACCTTTTTGGTTGTGGCATGGGAACTCTTAGTTGTGGCATGCGGAGTCTAGTTGTCTGACCAGGGATGGAACTTGGGCCCTCAGCATTAGGAGCAGGGAGTCTTAGCCACTGGACCACCAAGGAAGTCCCTCACAGACATTACCGATAGGGCTGCAGGAATAAACATCTGGTGACAACAGACACTGAGGTGGGGGGGCTCAATGGGGGGGACCATATCTGGCTGGAGGATCAAGGAGGGCTTCCCTGAGGAGGTGTGTGTACCACCACAGATAGCACACGCAAAGGCCCTGAGGCCAGGAATGCCCAGCTTGGAGCATCCAGGAGGGGGCTGTGTTGTATAGTGGGGGTGGAGGTGCCAGTGGGGCCGGTTTGGGGTAGTGTGAGGCCCGTGCAGGTGACCCTGGCTGGAGAATAACAGGAACATTCCCTGAGTCCCCCACCCCCAACCCGTATTGAAGAGGGATGGCTGAGTTGCACCATGCTCATGGCTCCCTGAACACTGGGTTGCCCACAGGGAAGGTGGTGTGTGAGGAACCCAACAGCCGAATGCACCATTTCGTCGGGTGCCTGGAGTGGAAGGGCAAGAAATACCCCCTGGATATTGGTAACATCCTCCTGCGAGGCTGCAAGATCCGGAACACAGACACCTGCTATGGACTGGTCATCTACGCTGGTACAGCTGCTTTCCAGGGACCCTGGGGCCTATTCTGTCTAGGTCAGGGGTAGGGGTTGGGTGTCAACCTTCAGGTGACCCCTGAAGTCATTGTCAGGAAGTCAGAAGGCTGGGTCTGGCCGCCGCATGTCTGCTGCTATGGGATGAAGGGCTCCTGGCGTGGTTTCTCTGGATTCTCATTTCTGAAATTGCAGGAATGGACATGTTGAGCCAGCACCTTTGTTTTGACTGGAGAAATGGGGGTATTTATAACAGATGGAATGATGGGTGGTGGAGTAGGTGGCTAGATGGGTAAGGGGTGACAGAGAAATGGAGGGTGGGGTGGATGGATGAGCAGATGGGAGAGTGGATGGATAAATGGATGGATGGATGGATGGACAGATGGTAAATGGATAGATGGATGAATGAATGGATGGTGGATGAATGGTTGGTGGACAGTGGATGGATTGGTGGATGGACGAATGAAGGGATGGGTGGATGGATGAATGGATGGTGGATAGATGAATAGATAGATGAATGGATGGGTGGATGATGAATGGGTGGTAGATGGATGGATGGATGGGTGGATGGAAATCTTGCAGGTTTTGACACAAAGATCATGAAGAACTGTGGCAAGATTCATCTGAAGAGAACCAAGATAGACCATTTGATGAACAGACTGGTGGTCCTGGTGAGCTCCTTAGACCCCCTGCCCTGGGTGGGGGGCCATGGAGGAGGGGAGCGAAAGGGCCCCACCGCACAGAAGCCCCGTGGCGGTCATCTTCCAGGCTTCAGGTTCCCTCCTCTGAAGAATATGCAGCCTGATCCCCTGGACAGGCCAGAGGATTTTTTCTTCAAATGCCAATTTGGAGGGGGCCGGGGGGGAAGGTTTTATAAAATAATATTTGATTGCAATGTTTCCAAAACCCACAGGAGATAATAAGATACCCACCTATCCACTGACCTTTAAAAATCCTTAATTTTTTGCCTAAATCAACTTTACCTTTTTTTAAATTATCGAAATAATAATTTTGCAGCTGCGAAATTCGGCAGAAAACCTGCAAATTGCCCTTCCCCTGGACTGACAGTCCCTCCCCACCCCGACCCACTGTCCATCCTGGAGCAGTGCTGGGGGACACCCGCTCTCCACCCCGTGCTTGTCCGTTCACACTAAGGGTGCGTGCGTCCTCGAGGTGCCTCGCTGCCGCCCAGGCCCCCTCACGCTGCGCCCTTCCTCCCCTCCGCACGCAGATCTTTGTGTCCATGGTGGTGGTTTCCGTGGCCCTGACCTTTGGCTTCTGGCACGAGGTGAAAGAGTTCAAGGCCCATCACTACTACGTGTCTGCCATGCACACTAACAGTGTGGCTGTGGAGGCCTTCTTCATCTTCTGGGGCTTTCTCATCCTGCTCAGCGTCCTGGTGCCCATGGCCATGTTTGTTATGTGAGCCCTGGGGCCTCCCGCCCCTTGCTGAGCCGGAACGGAAGGTGGGGGAGGGACAGCAGGCTCAAGGGCTAGGCGGTGCCCCCCTAACGTTCGAGTGCGCCTGCGTGCATCAGCAGGGCAGAATTCATCTACCTGGGGAACAGCGTCTTCATCAACTGGGACCAGCACATGTACTACGAGCCCCAGGACCTGCCCGCCAAAGCGCGAAGCACCAGCCTCAACGACCTGCTGGGCCAGGTGGAGTACATCTTCTCTGACAAGACGGGCACGCTCACCCAGAACATCATGACCTTCAAGAAGTGCTGCATCAACGGAGTTGTCTATGGTGGGACCCCGCCCGCGCCCCGCTCCCCGCGTGCAGGGTCTCACAGCAGTGACCTGGCATCCAGCATCCCACACAGATTGGTGCCCCACCACTATTGCCAAGGGGCTTCCTCTCACTTGGGGGTTGGTCAGCTATTCCTGTAAAGGACCCACGGGTCAATATTTTTGGCCACAGGCCGCTGGGTCTCTGGCCCCAGAAAGCAGCTGCTGCTCTCACCCAGACTCCAAATTTTTTATTTCATAGTATTTCCACTTGTTGCACAAGATAATATTCTTCTTTTCAGGTTTCTGCCAACTCTCTAGAAATGTGATAAACATTTATAGCCTTGCAGGTCACACAGAAATTGGTACCGAGGTGGGGGCATAGTTCACCAGTCTCTGGTCTAGTTGATAAGCAGCGGACACAGTTTAGACCAGGAGCCAATAGAGGGCCCCTCTGTGTGATACTGGGCCTCATGGGCAGCCCCATGACAGACCTGGGCCCCACCCTTGGGTCGATGCCACCTGACCCTCAGGTAGGGCACCAGGCCCATGCTGAGCGGCACCAACCCCAGCAGGTCTCTGATGTTTCTAGAAGTGCTACGGACCCAGGTTTTTCTGTGAAATCACCCTATTTTTCAAAGTAGGTGGCCAAGTCCAAATTTTAAAAAGACACCAGGAGGAGGTCAAACCAAACATATTCTACAGGGCTGAACCCCACTGCCATACACCCTCCACCCCACCGCCCTAGAGGGGGTCCCTGGGACACATGGCTGCATCCTATTCTCCTCCAGGCAGAAGCTGAGGCTGGGGTATTTGGCGGCTTGGGGCGCTGGGTCCAGGGCACAGGCCTGGCTGATCTAGCTGCAGCCAGCAGCCCCAGGAAGCCTGGCCCGGGGAGGGGGTGCTGTGGGACCCCATGCGGACACTGGAAGCTGAGGCCTAAAGCTGAGTCTTTCCCCGGGCCCAGAGGAGACCCCAGGCAAGGTGAGCCCTGGCCGCCCCGGAGCCCTGGGTGGTGGGGGAACACGCAGTGACCCACCCAGGGCTGGCCTGTGCCTCACTGCCCCCACAGGAGAACCCCTTCCTTTGGAACAAATTTGCTGATGGGAAGCTGCTGTTCTGCAACACGCAACTCCTGCAGGCCGTGCGGGCCAACCAGGACTGGAGGGTGCGTGAGTTCTGGCGTGTGCTGGCCATCTGCCACACGGTGATGGTGCAGGAGATGAACAGTGAGTGCCCCCTCAACCCCGGGGGTGGCTGGGCTCGGACTCCCCAGATGCTTTCCCACCAACTCCCAGGGCCCCCTCATCACGATTAGAGAGCTCCCAGGCCCCCAGCCCAAACCCCACCTAGCCTCTGCCACCAATGGTGACCTGGCCTGTCATTGTACAGAGAGGAGGAGGGCTTGTGGACTGGGATGCAGTCACCTACTTTCTTTTATTGGGCTTAGAGGTCGTCCCACAAATACATGTTGGGCATTTCCTGTATCTGTTTCCTCCCTGTACTAAGCAGGTGGAGACAGGTGGGTGGTGGGTCTCCAACAAGGTCAAGCTCTCAGACTCCTCCCCGCCCTGCCCCCTCCCTGGCCAGACCAGCTAGTGTACCAGGCAGCTTCCCCTGACGAGGAGGCACTGGTTACAGCGGCCCGAAATTTTGGCTACGTGTTCCTGGCACGCACGCAGGACAGCATCACCCTGATGGAGCTGGGGGAGGAGTGTGTGTACCAGGTCCTGGCCATGATGGACTTCAACAGCATCCGCAAGCGGATGTCAGTGCTGGGTGAGTGCCCGTGGTCCTGGGTGGGGTGGGGGGAGGTGCGGAGGGGAGTGTATGTGGGCAGCCAGGCCTCTTCCTCCACAGTCCGCAAGCCCGAGGGCTCCATCTACCTCTACACCAAAGGGGCTGACACAGTCATCTATGAGCGCCTGCAAAAGAAAGGCGAGACAGAATGGGCCACAGAGGAGGCCTTGGCCGTGAGTCCCTGTGGGAAGGGAGGGTGGAGGGGTAGAGTCGAAGACACAGGGGCAGGGGAGAAGAGTGTGCAGAGAAATGGCCTCAGGGAAGCCATATACAGTTGGTCAGGTTGCACACTGTTCTGCCCAACACACACACACACACACACACACACACACACACGCACGCACTAGGGGCTGAAGATGGAGCCCAACTTCAAGCTGCAATGCCCAGAGGGGATATCTTCTTTTGAGTCAGTCAGGCAAGGACACCCTGTGGGTGGGTTTTGCCCTGGATGCTGCCCCCCCTTTTCCAGCCAGGCCTAGATTCCAGGACACACTCAGCCCACTGTGCCCCAAACCTTTCATCTCCACAGATGAAACCCAAAAGCCTTGGCCCCACTTTCCAGGCTTCATCTTTCTGTTTCCTGCTGTTTGTCATCTCTAACCTGGTCTCCCTTCCCTCGAGGGGTTTCCCAGAACCCCAATTTCTGGTGTTGCCTTAGGGCCCTTGCACATGATGTTCTCTGTTCTCCTCTACTCAGGTGCTCGGCATCCTTCTGTCCTCGAGGTTCAGCCCTAGGTCCCCACCTCCAGGGAGCTCTTCCTGCCCTGACCCTGACATGGGCTGTCCTGCCATGCGGGCCCAGTCCTGAACCCATGGGTCCCCAGCCTCACCCAGCACAGGGCCCAGCAGGGCTGTTTGTGGAAAGAATGTCCTCTGTCTCTCTGCTCAGGAGTCTCCCAAAGTGCCCTACTCTGATGGGAGGGAGTGGTGGGGAGCAGATGTCTCGGTCCTGACCCACAACCGAAGTGCAGTCACAGCAGTGACCCAGAGCCCAGGAGCTCGGCAGGATGGCTGGGCTCAATTGCCCACAGTATGGACAGGGAAACTGAGGCATGAGAGGAGGTGCACACGCCTGTCTGGGGCATTCGACATGTCCACATGCAGCCACCCAAGCCACTGTCAGTCAGGAGCAGAAGCCAATCGAGGGGCTGCCTCTTGGGGCAAAAGACCTGGGGCAGGGTTGGAGCCTGGGAAGGAAGAGCTTCGATGGAGCCAGAGAGCCCTGGGTCCTCCCCTGGGCCTGGAGATAGAGCCCCACAGGATCCTTCCCGTGCCCCACCCCCTACCTCAGTTCCTTGAGAAGTGAGGCAGAGAGAGGGCTCCAGGGACGGCAGAATCCTGATTGGGAAGGGGTCTGGCAGGGTTTCACTGAGGGTCTTGCCTAATGGTTAGAATTTGCAGCACAAATCATAGGGTAGATGTTCCTGGCTAGGGGAACAGGCAGGCTGAGATCTGGAGGCAAAACAGAGTGAGTGGGGTGTCTAGGGGGGGATGGGTTGAGACAGAGAGGGTGTGGAGCAGGGTGGCGTGTGGTCCCAGCCTCCCCCTGCCACCGGAGGACAGACTGTGTGGGTAGGGGCAGGTTGGGGGCCCAGGCAGAGGGAGAAGGGCTGCAGGGGTTCCCCGGAGTGGCAGGGGTGCCAGCGTCATCTGCCTGCTGGCCCCAGTCCTTTGCCACGGAGACCCTGCGGACATTGTGCCTGGCCTGCAAAGAGGTGGATGAGGAAGTGTATGAGCAGTGGTGGCAGCGGCACCAGGAGGCCAGCATCCTGCTGCAGAACCGCGCCCAGGCCCTGCACGAACTGTATGAGGAGATGGAGCAGAGCCTCCAGGTGGGTGGAGCCGGGGGCGGGGCGCCGCACCCCAGCCCTCCGGGAGCTGGGTCCCTGCTCAATCTGTCCTCGCCCACTCCCTTCTCCCCCCCAGCTCCTGGGAGCCACAGCCATCGAGGACAGGCTCCAGGACGGTGTCCTCGAAACCATCAAGTGTCTCAAGCAGGGGAACATCAAAGTGTGGGTCCTCACAGGGGACAAGCAAGGTGGGTCCTAGGGTGGCAGCCCCCAGCGCAGGGAGAAGGGAGGCCCAGGGAGGACTCATCCCGTCCCAGAGTCACCGTCAGGCCCTCCGTGTTGTCTGAGTTCACTGTAGCCCCCTACTGTGTGTCCCTGGGAAGGGAGAACCAAGACCCTGGGTGCCTCTCTTGGGTGGGCTGGTGCCATGCTGAGCACCTCCTGGGGATTTGGCCCCCTTGGCAGCACCATTTGGTGGGGCCCTGGTTACCTCCCGGGGCTCAGAGAGCACTGGGCACCTGCCTGGAGCTGCCCAGCCACCTCGGGGCCAAGTTGGTCCTCTGGCTCTGGAGCCCTGGTTCTCCCAGCCCCTGAGGCTTCTTGGGGGGGCCTTCTCTGGGCATTGGTGCCTGCAGGGCTCCATTGGGACTTCTGTGGGCGGGAGGCACGTACACTCCAAATATTTAGAATGACATTTAACAGCTCTAATGGTGTGAAGACCAATCTCCAAAGTGGATTTTTTTTTTTGGCCGCATTGCCGATCATGTGGGATCTTAGTTCCCCCATCAGGGATGGAACCTGGGCCCACTGCATTGGCAGCATGGAGTCTTAACCACTGGACTGCCAGGGAAGCCCCACAGGCTGGATTTCTGTATTCATTTTTTACTTTTTTTTTTTTTTCCTTTTTCTTTTCTTTTTTTTTTTAAGAAGTTAAGTCACGTTTTTCTCTGCCCCCCCCCCCCCCCCCCGCCCCCAGACATTAAATCATTTTGTGGGGATCCTAGGCACTGAAATGTCTAAGGTTAGTGCCTTGACCTTGGCCCCAGACTCACCTGCCTGCAGCCGCCCAGCCCCAGCCTGAAGTGGAGTCCTCGGTATGCTGATCTGGAAAGTCTCAGGGCTGACTCTCATTGGCTGCCGTGGTCACATGCCCTCCTCTGAACCAATCGCTGTGGCTAGTGGGAGGGGCATGCTGCTGTGATGGGCAAGGTGGGTGGGGTTGGCCTCCAGGCAAGGGGGCCTCCCCGCAGGGGTTGAACTGGGCTGGTTTGCAGAGACAGCCGTGAACATTGGTTTTGCCTGCGAGCTGCTCTCAGAGAACATGATCATTCTGGAGGAGAAGGAGATCGTGTAAGAAGTGGGGATGGGGTGGACGATCCTGACGGGGGAGGGGGGTCAGGGTGAGGATGGGGCGCCCACGACACAGCCATGGCCCTGGGGTCTGCCTGGCCAGTCTCCTTGGGGCTTGGGTGTGGGTGCAAGGAAGCCTGTGTGGCTGACGTGGCTAAGGCCTGTCTGGGCCCCCACCCCCACCCCTGTACAGACGGATCCTCGAGGTCTACTGGGAGAACAACAACCTGCAAGGTGGCAAAAAGAAAGAGCTTCCCCTGCAGTTCAAGATGGCCTTGGTCATTAACGGGGAGTTCCTGGTCAGTGTTAGGTCAGAGTGGACAGTGGGGTCCTGGTACCCCGGGGAGGGGCCTGGGAGGAGCTGCGGTCTGAAGCTGGAGCTGCTTCCACTGAAAGGCTCTCAGATGCACCATTGGACCAGCCAAGGTGATGGCTACCCTGAGAGATAGTTCTCAGCTGGGCCGGAGCAAGGCTCAGGTCTGGCTGGAAGGAGGGCACGGTTAGGGCTTCACCGGGGGGAGGGGGCGGGAGAGGGAGGGGTACAGCAGAGTGACCTGCCCCTGTCACCCGCGAGCCAGGACCAGCTACTGCTGTCCTTGCGCAAGGAACCCCGAGCCCTGGTCCAGAACGTGAACGAGGACCCGCTGGAGTCCTGGCAGGAGCTGGAAGAGGAGAAGGTGGACTTCCTGCAGGCCAGGCGCCTGTCCCTCATGTGGCGGACACTGGGGATCCAGCTGCGGAGCTCGGGGCTGATACCCCAGCACAAAGACTCCAAGATCCTCCGGATCGCTGAGGAGCAGCGGGAGCGGGCCTTCGTGGAGCTGGCCTCCCGATGTCAAGCGGTCATCTGCTGCCGCGTGACACCCAAGCAGAAGGCCCTGATCGTGAAGCTGGTCAAGAAATACCAGAACGTGGTGACCCTGGCCATCGGGGATGGCGCCAACGACGTCAACATGATCAAGAGTGGGTGGTGGGCAGTGGGGCCGGGGGAGGCTGGCAGCAGGTGGGAGTGGTGGGTTGGGGTCCCCCGGCCGACAGGCTTGTGTGTGCCCCTGCAGCTGCAGACATCGGCGTGGGGGTGGCGGGTCAGGAGGGCATGCAGGCAGTGCAGAACAGCGACTACGTGCTGGCCCAGTTCTGCTTCCTGCGGCGGCTGCTGCTGGTGCACGGACGCTGGTCCTACATGCGCGTCTGCAAGTTTCTGCGCTGCTTCCTCTACAAGACGCTGGCCAGCATGATGGTCCAGATCTGGTTCACCTTCTACAGCGGCTTCACTGCCCAGGTGTGCTGAAGGGAACTCCCTCCCCTCTAGGGGATGCTGTGTCCTTCCTGTAGCCTCCAGGAAGGCAGTAGGCATGCTCCCACTCGGAGGTCCTCGGGGGCAGAGCGTGCTTGAAGCCACAGAGCAAAGCAGCCTTCAATCAATATCTGGCTGCATTAACAGAGGTATAGAATCTACATAAAGTGGGGGATGGTTCCGTGCCCAGCTCTGTGCTGAGCATTTTCAGGGATATTTGGCAAATTTGAGCTTTGAAGCAAGGGCAGGACAGGTGCTCCAGACATACATTCTTCAAGGGGAAAAAATGAGAACCTGAACCTCAGAGAAGGTAAGATTGTAAGGACTGGGTCCCTGACTTCAAGATTCTTGACAGTATCATGGTGAATACTAGATGTGCTCTCCAGAGTGTCAGAGGAGTCATACATAGGGCAGTGATGTCCCCTGTGGTCTGAAAATAGACTTTCATGAGACAGAATGGCCTCCCTGTCACCAATACCCAGACAGCCAAGAGGGAGCTTTACAAGAGCGCTCTTCATAAATATATATTTTTGTTTTACCTTTTATTGCTAGGTATTTTATTCTTTTAGATGCTACTATAAATGGAATTGTTTCCTTAATTCCCTTTTGACATTGCTTATTGCTGCTGTATAGGAAGTGGTACCATGTGGTGGTTCAGATGGTAAAGAATCCACCTGCCAATGCAGGAGACACGGGTTCGATCCCTGGGTCAGGAAGATGCTCTGGAGAAGAAAATGGCAGCCCACTCTAATATTCTTGCCTGGAAATCCCATGGACTGAGGAGCCTGGTGGGCTATAGTCCATGGGGTCGCAAAGAGTCAGACAAGACTTAGCAACTAAACAGCAACACCACCACTGGTGTATAGAAACACATTTTTTTTTGTCTGTGCCCTGCAACTTTATTGAGTTTGTTTTATTGGCTCTAGTAGTTTTCCTGTGAGTCTTTTGGGATTTTCTGCATGTAGATCATGTCCTCTGCAAAAAGAGACAGCTCTACCACTTGCTTTCCAATTTGGATGCTTTCTATTTCTTTTTCTTGCCTAATTGCTCTGGTGAGGGCTTTTCCAGTGCAGTGTTGAATAGCCATGGTGAAAGCAGGCATCCTTGTCTTGTTCCTGATGTCAGAGGGGACGATGTTTAGTCTTTCTGTGTTTATTAACTGTAATTAATGTTCCTTCTCCCCCATATATTTATTTGAACATTTACTCCTATCAGTATGGACTCAAATATGTTCATTTTATTCTGTGCCTTGTTGCTCATTATGTATCCAATTTGTCCCTTTGCCCTGTGCCTGCTCTTCTCTGAGCATGTCCTCACTTTCTGGCACTTCAAGAGCTTCCTGGCTCGTTTTGTCCTTTCCTTATCCCAAGCCTGGAATGAACCATTCCCTCAAGGAATGCCAGTTCTCTTCACCAGAGAATGATAGTTAGAAATCAAGGTCTAAACACGTGGTGTGCTCATCGCACGTGATGCCAGTATCCTCCCTGTAGAAAGAGGCAGGAGATATACACATACTAACCTGTGTTCAGACACACATCTACACCTGTGCTGTACTGACCTCTCTATGTGTATGTGAGTTCACACTGATACCACAGAACAAGGCTCAGCTTAGCCTTTTCCACATGCTTATTTGTGAGTCATCTCCAACGGTGAAAAACTTGATTCTGGTAAAAAAAATTTTTTTTGTTGTTACTTATTTGTTCAACCCCAGAATGCACCTAAAGCCATTCTGGGAACTGAAACTGATGCTTTTTCACTTGTCTGGATTTGTGCATTCAGGAAGGGACTTGGTCTGTTTGTGAGATCTCTTCCAGCTCTGTTAACCCATCACTGACTTCCTAAGTCAAAAATGATCTAGGGAAAAAAAAAAAAAAAGATCTAGGGACTTCTCTGGCAGTGCAGTGGGTAAATCTCCATACTTCCACTGCAAGGGACACAGGTTTGATCCCTGGTTGAACTACTATCCTGCATGATGTGCAGCATGGCAAAAAGAAAAATTTAAAACACACTCTCTAGCCATTTTCCCTCCTGTAAACTTTGTATTAAAGTCATCACTTGAAACAGACTCCAAGGTGCTACTTTAAAAGCACTGAAGTGAAAGTGAAAGTCAGTCCATTGCATCTGACTCCTTGCCACACCATGGACTGTACAGTCCATGGATACTGGAGTGGGTGGCCTTTCCTTTCTCCATGCCTTTTCTCTTCCACTCTTTATCACTTCGTGCAGCCCTGATCTTAGCCCCAACCTTGATTGTCACTTGACTCTCGAAGTCACCTGGCATCCTCTCCAGGTGACAAACAAGCCTGGATGGGTCTCCTTAGGTAGAGATTCGTTTCTGCCTCTGGCCGTCTGGCTCTGAAGGCTGAGTGCATTCTCCCTCCCCTCCCTTGTCTGCGTCCTCCACCTTCCTACCCAGCCTCTGTACGAGGGTTGGTTCCTGGCGCTCTTCAACTTGCTATACAGCACCCTCCTGGTCCTCTATATCGGGCTCTTTGAGCAGGTGAGCAGCTCCGGGTCTTGCCTCCTCCTTCTCTGTACATGTTTCTTTTTCTGGGGCCTGGGGTGGGGCAGGGGCCATCCCCTTCTGGTCCCAAGAGCCAGCTTCCGCACTGTGAACTCGCCAGGATGTGAGCGCAGAGCGAAGCCTTGAGTTGCCAGAGCTGTACATCGCAGGCCAGAAGGACGAGCTCTTCAACTACTGGGTCATCCTGCAAGCCATCGCCCATGGCACAGCCACCTCTCTGGTCAACTTCTTCATGACGCTGTGGATCAGCCAGGACTCAGCTGGGCCTGTCAGCTTAAGTGACTACCAGTCCTTTGCGGTGGTCGTGGCCCTGTCCAGCCTGCTGTCCATCACTATGGAGGTAGGAGTGGCCATCTGCCTGCCCCTCCCCTGGTGGGGTGGGCCTTGGACAAGCTAAGGTCTTTCCTGGCAGTGACCTGCCCCTTCACAGACCCCGGGAGCTGGGCCTCCATCCTCCCCACCCCATCCACCTCCATCCACCCCATGGTTCCCTCCCCATCCCCCCTGCCTTAACGCCCCTTCCTTGTGCAGATCATCCTAATCACCAAGTACTGGACCATCCTGTCTTTGCTGGCCATTTTCCTCAGCCTCTGCTTCTACGTGGTGATGACCAGCCTCACCCAGAGCTTGTGGCTTTTCAAACACTTCCCCAAGAACTTCCCATTTCTGTGTGAGCCCCCAGCAGGGATGGGGCAGTGATGGTGGGGGGCCTGTTGGAGCAACCTCTCTGCCCCTCTGAACCTCAGGCTCCTTGGCCATGCAGGTGAGGTAGGTGGGTGTCTGTGTGTGTGTGCAGGAAGTGTCAGTGTCTCCTTAGAATTTTCACCTCCTTTCCCTGGGGTGAAGGGAAGAGAAAGAGATAGGGTATTGGAGCGGAGAGGCACCGAGCAGGCTCTGGTGAGGCCATAGCCCAGGCCAGCTGTGATTCTGCCCTGTTGCCAGACGCTGACCTCAACGTGCTGTCCCAGCCCCCCATAATGCTGGTGATCCTGCTGAATGTGTCACTGAACACCCTGCCTGTGCTGGCCTTCCGGGTCATTTACCAAGCCCTCAAGAAGCCACAGCGCAAGGTGAGGGGTGGGGGTCCACGCCACACATGGAGGACCCCAACAGCCAGAGCCTGTGCTGGGAACCGGGACTTGAAGGAGAGGCAGAGATGGGGCAGAAGCAGAACCCGACACACACCCAGTGTCCCCACGAGGGACCAAATGACAGGCAGAAGGGCCCCAAAGTGGATGCTGTGGTTCCTGGGGTGGATGCAGTGGGAGCATAGCCAGACTTCCACCTGGAAGTGACTGGGGCTTGGGGGCCGAGGTAACAGAAGTGATTTGGAGATGGGATAGGCAAACGAGGGACTCGGGGTAACCCAGTGTTCATCGGTGGATGATGGGTAAACAAAATGTGATATATACGTACAGTGGAATATTAGCCTTTAAAAGAAGGAGAGTCTGACACCTGCTACAACATGGGTGAATCATGAGGGCGTGATGCTCAGTGATGGAAACCAGACACAGAAGCCCAAATACTGTCTGATCCCACTCACAGGCGGTCCCTAGAGGAGTCAGATCCATAGAGACAGGAAGCAGATGGTTGGGCCAGGGGCTGGGGGAGGCAAGGGGGTGTCATTGTTTCATGGGGAGAGAGTTTCCATTTGGGAAGATGAGAAAGTTCTAGAGATGGGTGATGGGGATGGCTGCACGACAGTGTGAATGTGCCACTGAGCTGTGCACCTAAAAATGGATAAAATGGTACATCTCATGTTATATGTATTTTACCACAATGAAAAAAGGTGGGAGATGGGACTCACTAGCCATAGTATCAGAATCTAGAAGGATGAGTTGAAGCTGGGATGGGCCCCAGAGTTGACTTGGAATGGTGGACTGGGACATGGCCACAAACCTGCCACCTTCAGCCACACAGGCTGAACATGGGGCTGCCCCAGAATAACTTCTGACTTTGCCACCAGAGGGCACTCAAGGCCAGTGGTGGCTGGCCCAGAGTTAAGTCCCAGGGAAAGGACTCTGATTAGCTGGTCCAAAGTCAGGTCCATGGGGAGGAATCTGATTGGTGGGTCCAAAGTCAGGTTCTGTGAAGGACTCTAGCTGGATCAACTTGCCTAGGAAAGAGCTTGGACAATCAATAGTGGCCAAGGACTCTGATTGGCCCTCACTGGAGGGGCAGGTGATCTGAAAGTCATCAACATGGCTTGGGAGCCTGATGACTTCTACACTCTCTTTTGTTCTGTAGGAAGAGGTAGAGAAAGTCACAAGTGAGGAGATCACCGTGGAGCCTGTGCCCTGTATCCGCAGGGAGTCACGGGCCCGGCGCTCCAGCTATGCCTTCTCCCATCGGGAGGGCTATGCTGACCTCATCACCCAGGGCACGATTCTGCGGAGGTCAGCGGGGGTCAACAGTGACATGCTGGTTGATCACACAATGCCACCTGATGAACCATCTGGGAGCATGAAGGAGTCCTCGTGGTACCCAAGGAAGATGTCATTTCTGGGGAGGAAGAGGCACTCACACCATGGGAAGGTGTCCTCTGAGGACATGCAGCCTCCCTCTGAGGTGAGCTCCTCCTTGACCATGGATGGGCAGTCTGCCCCTCATCCCCACCCTCTCAACAAAACCTGGCCATCTGGATCTTCACAGGAGAAGTTGCCATATTCTCCTGAGAGCCTGCTGCCAACTGAGATGCCACTGTCGACTCTAGAGAGCCAAGGTACCTCTGTTGAGAGCCAGATGCTGCCTTCGAGCCAGATATCCCTGCACAGCCAGCCAGCATACCTGCCACAGGAGAAGGCATCCCTCTTGAAGATCCGGAAACTGTCCTGGAAGAACTGGCCGTACATCTGGCAAAAGGAACCCGAGCCCCGCAGGGAAGGGATATTGCCAGTTTCCAGCTCAAATCTTAGTGCTGTGATGGAAACTGTACCACCAAGTGCAAAAGGATCATCCATCAGTGAGCAGTCAATGGAGGTGGAGCCCTCACCTGTGGAGAGGGAGCCATCACCTATGGAGTGGCTACCAGAGCCCAGTGGGGACCAAGCTGTACCTGATCTGGCAGAGCAGCTTCCCTGACTCCTGGGGCATCAGTGACTGCTCAGGCATAGTAAGTGTCATCCAGCAAGCATGAGGCATCCCCTGAAGACAGGGCTACACCAGCTCTTCTTTCCCTAATAAATCACAGTCTGTCTGACCCTAGGACTCCTTGAGATTCCCTCTTCCTATACTTCTTTTTGTGATGCCCCATGGAAGTCTTTTCTGGTTTAAGGGAAAAAAGAAAAAGAAAATCAAAACACTGTCCTCTAGTGGTATAATGGGGAATTGCGGGGAAAGCTGGACTGCTTTGTGTTTTTTTTTTTTTTTTTCCCCACTCTGGGATAGATAATGTGGATAAAAGCTTTATTGCTCTCAGAAGGGAGGAAGGTGCAGAGCAGACTGCTTACCAGCGCTGGCTTCCTGCCTGCTGCTTGTTGTCCTGTCTTGGCACAGTTTATAAGGCCCTGGCACCACCCAGCCTCTCCCTCCACCAGGGTGCCCTGGTTTCTTCTCAAGCAAATCACTTTACACTTGGTGCTCAGAAGGTAGTGGACAGTGATGCCTCAGAAGCAGAGCCCACAGGATCCTGAGGCTCCGTGGCCCAAAGGCTCCATGGAGGGTGGAGCGCTGTGGGGGTGGGATCTCAGGGAGGGCTGTGTTCAGAGTGGAGAGGCCCACTTACTCTTTCCCTCTTCCCCTTCTCCCTTCACAGAGGTTGGGCCCCATGCTTCCCCTTCCTACGCCAACCCCTACCCCTACCCCCCACATTCAACCAATGCACAAGCCCAGGTGAGTGACTAGAAAATAATTTATTGGAGAAAAACAAAACAACAAATCCAGCACAGCAATGGTTCACAACGATGAGGATTTTTTTTTTTTTAACTTTTAAGTCTGTCACCTGAGGGTGAGGTGGAGGGGTCTCTATTTGGATGACCCAAATTGTGTGTTCCCCGAAAGCTGCCCTAGTGTCCAGTCGTGATTACACACTCAGGGCCATGTGGCCTCTTGACCCTCCCTCACCCTTGGCAGAGAGAATCCCCCTGCCAAAGACCAGCCATTTGGGTGAGGGGTCTGCTGGGGCCGCAGGAGGAGCCCAGGAACTGATAGGTTGGTGTGACTGTAAATGCTTTGGGCAAAGAATATGAGTGGCCCCAATTCCAGCCTGTGCAGGGGCCCTAGAACACACTCCACCCACCCCCATCCTCATTTCAGGTGGGTTGAATCTGCAGCCCCAGGCCCAGCCTTCCAAACTCAGACCTTCTGACTTTCAGGGAGTGAGGCTACCCCACCTTCCTTATCTGGGGCCTATCCTAGAAACTAGGCTCTCCCCTGGTGGGAGCATGGGGCCTGGAGGCAGAAGTGGAGTCCAGGCCAGGAGACTGCTCCAGAGCCCCTTTCCATGATTTCTGGGGGTACCCTCTGTTCTCTAGGGTCCTACTGTGGGCTGGAAATGGAGCTCCACAGGTGCACCACCCACCTCCCAGGCCAGACAGAAAGATGAAGTCATGCCTGGACAGGCCCTAGGAGGCTGGGGTGTCTAGGTGGAGTCCGTGTAGGGCGGGTGCCTGCCTGGGGGGTGGGGGTTGTTTCAGGAGGGTCCTTTGGATGTGGGGAAGTTGGGGCACATCCCCGCCCCCCACCACCCTGGGCGACATGACTCAAATTGGCTGATTGTCTGACTCCTCTGAACAAGACACTTGGGAATTCATGCTAATGTGAAACCCGACCGGCCCCAGGGGTGGGGAAGTGGGGGACCCAAGGTGGCAGTGACGCCCACTGGCGCCCCAGGACCAGAATCCGGAGGGACTCGGCGCCAGGAGGTGGAGACGTGGGCATGCAGGTTGAGTGCCTGTCGCCTGCCTTCTCCACCTGAGGCACGTCCATGCGCCGCCGGCTGGACACAGATCCTTGGAAAGGGAGAAAGTAGCATAGAGCAGCGCCATGGAGCACCGAACAGCGCCCCCTGGGGCATGAAACACAAGATGCGACGCGGAATCCTGGGGCTCAGCCCCCGCGTGGCCCCGCCCCACCCCCCACCCTGCCGCCCAGTACATCATCTTCAAGAAAAAGTACATTAGTCATGCATCAAATCAAATTCCATTGCGTCTTTTTTTCACTTTTCTTCCTTTTTTCCCTTAAATTACATTTGAACACAGAACACATAGAATAATAAATAGTCTAATAAGACATGACTCCAAAAAACAAGAAACAGAACACGCCAGAGAACAGAAAGGTACCCCGCTCTCTCTCTCTCTCTCTCTTTCCTAAAGGACTCATTGAAATAAGAAATCTGTAAACGCCGCTGGTCCTTCCTCGCGCTCTCCTGGACTCTCTCGCTCACGCTCCCTCGGCCCTTCGCCTCTGACCACCCCTGACATTCACCGCGTCTCCCACGGAACTCACCAAAGAAACGACATACCATCGTCTGCAAAATTATAATTTAACGGTATAAAGCTTCAAGTCACGTATTCCAAAAACTAGCTAAGGATTTTTTTTAATCACATAAACTATACATTAAATATCTTGAGGTATTTCAGAGAAAATTGTCAAAGGCTCGAAGGAGCTGTGCTGGAAGTGTCATTCCCTGCCTGGAGAATGGTCTTTGGTGTGTGACAACCGGCTGGGTAATTGGGTCGAGCAGAGGGAGGGGGCCTGGCCAGGTGGGGGGGGCGGTGTCAGGAGGGAAATGGTGTGTGTGCCGAAGCACAAGTGTGCACATGTCATCGGGTGTTTGAGAGGGACGTATCTGTGACCAGAGTCAGTGAAGCTTAAGGGATTGATCCCTAGAAGGGCCCCAGGTCAATTCCTAAGTGTCCAGCAGGGGAAAGACCCAGGCCCTGGCCTCTGACCTTTGGGTCTTGAATGCAGGATCAGCAAGTGACTTAACCTGCAGAGAAGCCCTGAACCCAGCTAGCAGGTGCTCTGGCCAGTGGGGTCCAGGTGCCCCTACTGGGTGGAGGAAGAAGCTGAGCCCACCCAGACCCCAGCCCCCAGATCGGTGAGTGGTGTGCGCACAGGAGTGTGTATGTGTGTGTCTGGGGGGAGAGTTCGTTGCCAAGCAGGAAACGGGGACTCTCAGGACTCTGCCCCAACACCCAAAGATTCTAGAAGCATCACTCTGATCCGGTTGCTTGCTTGAAAAGCGGGGAGAACAGCGAGTCGATAAGGACGAGAGAACATCACACATGTCTTTGGTTCAAGAAAAAGGCACTCATCGACCTCGCCACCCTCTCCCTCTCTCCCTCCCTCTCTCTCTCTCATTCTCTTCTCTCTCTCTCTCTTTGTCTCTCTATCTCTCTCTGCTCTCTCTGGTGGGGGACGGGGGGTGGGGGGCGCACCTGGAGAGCGGGGCCCCAAAGCAGACCCTCGCTCACACCTGCTACCTGGGTGAGGGAATCTTAGCATCCAGCACAAGTCCTCGGGAGGGAAAATCTTTGGTATCAGGCGTGATTTTTCCAATCACAGACATGAGCATTTGAGTGAGGTAGCATTTACCTGGGGAGGGGGAGGGGCATTTCACTAGAAGTGTCTCTTGCATTCTCAAAGGTGGGAGGGGGTGGCCACCTCCCTGGGAGGCGGCGGGGTCAGCCGCATTTGGGGTGGGGGAAGAGGCTCCTTCTAGCCTCCAGCTCTTGAACCCCCGGCTGGGGGGGGAGCAGGCTCTTGGGATCCAGCTGCCGGCCAATCCTGGAGGTCACCTGGAGGAGGGGGGAGTGGGGAGGAGGCGTGCTTATCTTCGTTTCTGACCCTTCCTTCCCCTTTGTCTTTTTTTTTCTTTTGGCAAAAATCAGAACAAGCAGATTCCACCTTGTTCATCCTCTTCTTTCTCTCTCTGGAGAAAAGGCAGGAGCACAGGTGCGCCCTTGCAGGCCCAGCGCCGCAGCCCGGAGCGCTGGCAGGTGGGGCGGGTTCCAGAAGATTCCGAGCCGAGAGTGGCGCCGCGACACCAGAGCTCAGGAGCTCAGGTGCGCCCCTGCCCTCCCGGGGCCCGCATCTCTGTGGAATCTGGTTGTTTTCTTCCGCTGCCTGGGGTCTGTCTCTCCCCGTATCATTCATCAAGGTGCTGGAGCGGTAAAGTGCATCCCGGACAGAGGGATGCTGGGACAGAGGCCTCTGGAATTACCCGCTTGTTTGAGCTGCCGTCCCTTCCGGTCCGGGACTGGGTGGGGATGGGAACTCACCGGTAGCCGCTGCAGGCACGCCCCTCCCCAGACGTTAAGGCAGGCAATTCTTGGCACAAGGAACCCTGGCCGTCGGGAGGGGCGGCTGGGTTCTTGGCTGTGGGGGCAGTTCTGCCGGCGGACCGGGGGTGGTCTTGGTGGGGGGAGGGGGCGGCGTGAGCATCCAGCTCCACGTGGGCTTTGGCGACTTCGGAAGAGCTGAGTTCTGGGGGAGGGTCCGTGGGGCACCGCTGGAGACGAAGCCTTCCTGCCTCCCTCCTGCGGGCGGGAGCTGGCGAAGGAGTGGCTATTCTTTAAATTCCTTTTTGAAATTACCCGGTTTCTGTTTCTAGTATGTGCTTCTTGACCCGCTTTCGGGACGACACGTGAGCCCTGGTTTTCCTCGAGGACCCCCGGGCGTCCTGAATTGAAGGGAGCCGGGGCGCTCCTTTCTGTCACCCCTTTCCCTCTCGGGGGTGGGGTGGGGTGGGGTGGAGGGCTTCCTTTGGCCTGAAGGGGATGGGGACGGAGGGAGGGGGGACCCTTTTTGTGCACTTGGGCTGGGGGTGTGCTGCGTCCCTTCCCTGGGTGTTGGGGCCCGGACGGCAGCCCCTCCAGGTGCGCCCTGGGGCAGGTCTCCGGGCCGGCAGGGTGGGAGTGGGGGGGGGGCGGGGGGGGGGGGGGGGGACGTGGGGGGACGGGGGGACGTGGGTTCGGGGGCAGGCAGCGCCCGGGCCGTGGAGGCTGGGAGGGCGCGCAGCCGGGGCGCCTCAGGCCTTGGAGAAGGTGGCGGCAGCGCCGGCGGGGCCCCCGGGGGCAGCTCCGGGCTCCTCGGCCCAGCGGTTCATGCAGCGGCGCCGCGCGTTCATGAAGAAATTGCTGACGGTGTTGAGCTCCAGGCCGAGCTGCTGCGAGATGGTGACCTGCATCTCCTTAGAGGGCCGCTTGTTCTCCTTGAAGATGGCGATGAGAGTGCGCCGCTGCAGGTCGGTGAACACCAGGCGCTGCTTTTTGGGCTGCAGCGCGCGCTCTTTCTGCTGCTCCTGCTCCTTCCGCTTGCAGGCTGCGGGCGAGCGCGGGCGGGCGGGCGAGAGGGACGCGGCGCCACCGCGCGGCCGGACGGGAGAAGACAGGCCACGTGTCCCGGAGCACCGAGACATCAGGAAACACAGAAATGCGGGAAACGAGAGATGGAGAGACGACACGGGGACAGGGCCAAAAAGACAAGGGGACAAAGAGAGCAGGAGGCAGCAAGAAGGTGGTAGGTCGATAGAGACCACGAGTAATGTTAGGAGAGGGGGGGCAGACAGTGGTGGGCGGGAAACAGACAAAGGAGGCAGATGGGGGGGTAGGGGAGACAAAGAAGGGGACATAGTGTGAGCACACTTCCACAGGCACGGGTCGTCACGCCCTCCCATACCCTTTCTGCATTCTGACCCCCTCCCAGCCTCATGTCCCCAAACTGCCCCTCACCCCCATGAATCCTGACCTCAAGAGTACAACTAATGTTGGTGGCTTTCTGCCCTCCCTCCCTCCTGCAGCCCACACCTGGGGGATGTTGGGGGAAATGACCCGGAATTTCTACATGTGAGTTATTTGGCTCAGTGTAGAGCTGAGTGAAAGAACTGGTTAATTAGTACCTCTTTGCTGGGTGTGTGTGTGTGTGGGGTGGGGGAGGTTGGGATCACAAACCCCAGGAACATACATCCCCCTGGAATGATGGGGCAACTAGGTTCTCAGAAGACAGGTGACAATCCAAGCCTCCTTCCCTGGTGACCTGAGGCCTTATCAGCTTAGGGATCCAGAATCCAGCTAACATGGTCATCTACTTGGTCTCATTCTGATCTCTGAGCCCCTACTCTGGCCTCCCTCCACCAGCAGGCTGAGACCAAGGCCTGGCATCCCTCAGGTCCCCCAGGGAACTTCTGGAGAGGGGGAATTGCAAGACCAACCCTCCCTCTGCCAGAGCCACGTGGCCCAGATGATGGGGAAGGCATTGGAGGGCGCCCTATGGTCAGTGCTTGTGTGCTAAGTTACTTCAGTCGTGTCCAGCTCTTCTCGACACTATGGACTGTAGCCCTCCAGGTTCCTCTGTCCATGGGATTCTCCAGACAAGAATACTGGACTGGGTTTCCATTTCCTTCTCCAGGGGATCTTCCCGACCCAGGGATCGAACTCTTGTTTGCCTGTATCTCCTGCATTGCAGGCAGATTCTTTACCACTGAGCCACTTGGGAAGCCCCCTGTGGTGGGTGGAAGCTTGCAAAGGAGAAGTGGCAGCATCTCAGAGTGGTAGAGCTAGGGTGGAGACTATGGTCATGCTCCCCCCTGCACCAGCTCCAAAGCGGGCCCCTCCCCTCAATACTGTGCGGCCAGTGGGTGGAAAACATGATCTTCACCAGCTAAAGCTGGCTACCTCCACCTGAGGACTGGCGACATCAGCAAAAACTTCATCAGGGTCTCAATTTCTTGTCCACACACCAGTCAGGGACAGTGGGTGGTGGACACCGCCCCATCCTGCCTTCCCACGAACCACTTGCCCCAGCCACTCAGTCACTCCCAGAATGGCTGGTGGCACAGGCTGTACTAGCAGATCTCTGCTGCCAGCCCTGGTGGCCTGCTGGGACCACATACCAAGCTGGCTTTTTTTGGTTCCAGAACAGTCTGAACCAGATGACATGCCAGATCAATGTCCACACACGTCTGTAAAAAATAAATGAATGTCCCCTGTGCTGTGGCTCATTTCTCAGTGATGACAGCTCCCCCTCTCCCCCCCAAGCTCCCCCCCTCTGTTTGAACTGATGCACCACTTCCTTCTCTGGCTTCTTCTGACCTGTAACACACAGTGCTTCTAATTGGCTGTTTCAGGTTTCATAATTAAATAAGAGTGGCAGGCAGAGGTTACTGGACTTTTCAGAAAAAGCCTCTAATGAAGGAGAGAGAGAGAAAGTGATAAAAATGGGAGGAGGACTGGGGGGTGATGCTCTCAGAAGAAACAGATAAGACAGGTGCAATTAGAAGTCAGATTCTGGGAGGGGTAAGAGAAGAATACTGTATCCATGAAACAAGAACCGGATGCTGTTCAATAGAAAGGACCATGAAAGGGACAGACAATGCTCTTAGAATTTAAGTATATTATAGCAGGAATAAAGTCAATGTAAGAATTGAGACATAGGAACTTCCCTGGCAGTCCAGTGGTTAGGACTCTGCTTTCACCACCAAGGGCCCGGGCTCATTCCCTGGTTGGGGAGCTAAGATTCCACAAGCCATGTGGCATGGCCAAAAAGTTAAAAAAAAAAAAAAAGAAGAAGAAGAATTGGAACATAAAGCAAATATCCCTGGAAATACAAGTGGATGCAGATGGAAAATGAGGGAAAGATGATAAAATCTGAGGATGAATGTGCAGGTTTGTCATTTGAGCAAGAAGCCATCCAAAACTAGAGAAAGGGAAGCCCAAACAAATTATATCAATATGATTAGAATAATGTGTGTGTGTGTGTGTGTGTGTGTGTGTGTGTGTTCAGTCATGTCTTACTCTTTATGACCCCATGGACTGTAGCCCGCCAGGCTCCTCTGTCCATGGGATTCTCTGCATCTCTTGTGTCTCCTGCATTGGCAGGCAGATTTTTTTTTATCACTGCACCACCTGAGAAGCAGTTGGAAGACATGAGAATTCAGTTTAAAAGAGCTCATGAAATGCTCAGCTCAATGAATGAAGAAAGACTCCCTGAGGCTCACCCTTGTGAAATGTCAGGGACCCAGGGTGAAAAGAAGATAAATGCTCCCAGAGAGGAAAGCCACCTGCCATTTGGAGAACTAAGAATCAGAGTGGCTTTAGGCTTCTCAAAAGCTAGGAGCCAGTGGAACAATGCCTTCAAAATTCTGAGCAAAATCTATATTCAGCTAGAATTGTGTGCCCAGTCAAACTCAAGCATGAAGGTAAACTAAAGATATAGTCAGACATTCAAGGTCTCCAAAAGTTGACTTTTGCGTACTCTTTTCTCAGAAAGCTATTAGAGGGCATGTTTCATCAACATGAGGAAGTAAATAAAAAAAAGGAAGATGTAGGATTCAGGAAATGTGATTCAACCTAGAAGAAAGGAAAAGAGGTATCCCATACGAAGAAGGGAGACCCTGAAAGCAGGACAAAGGCATCAAGGACATGAGGTCAGCCCCAGATCAGAGCTGGTGCACCAACAGAAGCAGAAAGGGGAGATGTCCTAACAGGTGTTAGTTTTGCATTTTGTTGAAGGATATGGGAGAGCTTGTGATAGGCAACCATAAATTCCTGGAAGAACAAACAGCTGTACAAGAAAGGAGACAGCAATCCTAGTACTATATGAGATAAAACCTAGGAGATGAACAATGTACATTTTGTACATTGTTTTTTGTATACAAAGTGGGGAGAATTTTGTATACAGCATTTTCTATACAAAGTGGGGAGAGGGAACATTTGTTCATTTTGTCTGCATAAAGAAACTTTGATGGGAGAGAGGTTCCGGAGGGAGGGGACATATGCATACCTATGGCTGATTCATGTTGCTGTATGGCAGAAACCAATGCAATATTGTAAAGCAATTATCCTTCAATTAAAAATAAGTATTAATTTTCAAAGAAAGAAACATGGAAAGGAAGCACCAGGAACCACCTTGACCTCTCATCTCCTTGGAACTGGCCAGCTTGTGAAGCTCACAAGAAGAGGCCACATCCCCATTCTTTTAAGGAAAAGCTGGATCTCAGGCAGCAACACCAGGGAAGAGTCAAAACAGCCCAGGCCTTTACCTTCTTGCCACCTGTTGTGACCTTCAATTCATTCATTCACTCATGTTTTCATTCACTCACTCAGAATTGTTCTCACAAATTCAACATGCATTTATAGGAAGGGCAGAGAGACAAACACTTTTCAGAAAGCCTGCAAGAGCTTTACACGTCCAGGGCCTTCCATGTGCTGTTTTTTTTTCATCCTTAAGATAATTCCATAAGGCAAGGATATTCTTTCTTACTCAGAGAAGGTAAGCCACTTCCCCAAAGTCACCCAGCAAGTCCTGGCAGGGACAGGACAGGAGCCAGGATTGACTGGCAGGTGGGAGGGGGTCACCTCTTTCTCACCCACCTCCCTCTTCTCCAATCCAGAGCCAGTGGGGGCCTCAGAGGCAGAGGCTGGGGGAGGGGCCAGCCACAGCAGAGTCGTGAAAAAACTTCGCATTTTGTCGATCACAGCAAAAAGAGGCTCCGCTCTCCCCCCTCTTCCCGGGCGTTCAATCTAATTACAGCTCCTCACAGCCCGGATCGATCCGGGCTCCAGTCGGAGCTGTTTACCGCGAGCAGCTTTTGTCACTGCTTCTTCCCCCACAGCCCCCAGCGGCGCCGGCCTGTAGGCCCCTGGCCCCGCGAGGATGTCAGTGCGGGTGGGGGAGGCGGCCCAGAGCGGCCTCCTACGCCCACCAGTATCCCTTCCAGCACTCAGGATCACCCCAGTCCAGCCCCCAAACTGCTGCAGTCCCTGGAGGTAGCCCCAGGAGGAGGAGAGGACATGGAATGGGCCCCTTTCACAGAAGTGAACACAGAGGCTGTGAGAGGACTGACCAGGAAGTAGCCCTGGGGAAGACGGACCGCTGGGTGGGGCAGCCTGGGGCCGCCTCGCCCATGGCCTCCAGACGCTGCCCTGCCACTTGTAGGGCCACCTCCCCCACAATGATCTCCCCTGGGGACCACCACTGTGGAGTGCCTACAAAGCCTCCTCCGCCATCCCCTCCACCATCACCTGCTCCCCCTGGGACTCTTCCACCTCCTTTTCTTCCTCCCCCATCAGAGTCACTTATATGTCATCATGCCCTCCATCACCTCTGTTTCTGTCACCTCTTCCATCACCATCTCCTCCGCCTGCATCGCTTCCACCATCGCTGCCTCTTCTGCCCTCACCTCATCTCCACCACCATGGTGTCCATCTACCATCATCACCTCCATTACTTCCACCTTCACCAATTCTACCAGCATCACCTCCGGCTCCACCAGTAATTCTACCAGCATCACCTCCGGCTCCACCAGTAATTCTACCAGCATC